ACAGTATGATGAGGTACAATCCAGCGATCACTGTCTGAAACTGTGTGAGAAGCTACAAACAGTAGCTGCCAATTTAACTAGACTGCTGCAGCCTTCCCGGGAGGTTTTGACTCGGACAGGTCACGTCCTGTATCTGGCACCACCACTCCCCTACTCTCATAAAGTCATTCCTTTCCATTTCAACTCACTGTGACTCTAGCCAAGTAAAACAGAAGAAAAACAAAGCAGAGGTTTCTTTCGAGAAAGAAGTTTGTGTACTTTTACAAGATTTTTGGCTCGTCCCTGAGGTGCAGATTCCATCTAGATTATGGAGTTAGTTTCAGGTTTCAAGAAAGATGACAATATAAATTGATGCTGTATTTATTAAGTGCGTTATGTTTGCAAAATTGATTTGCAAAAAAGACAAAGGTGAACTTACTGAACTCAGTAATTAATCCAAAACTTTAGAAAGGTCAGAAAGTTAACATAGAAATAATCTTGACAAATGCCTCACTCAATGCTGTGTAACATGTATGGTGACACTCCATTTGATGCAACTTAACATTAAGTATTTATAATAATCTATGTACCATTAAATCCATTAAATTAACAGCCAAAGATAATACCATTTTTTTGAATATCATTGCTCTACAATCGTTCATTCAACAACCTAGCTCTGCACTAATGCCCGGTACTGTATCATTTTACACTCATATATCAGGAAATAAAGACTAATAATTCTTCATAAATATTTTAATCGGCTTCTTACTGTATAAGTACCTACAAGTACAATAACCTAAATAACCAAATAAAAATGGGTAAAAGGTAAATGGAAAAGAGAATGAGCTGGATACATTGTTTTGAAAGACCATGTCTGTATATGCTGAATGACAATAGTAAAAGTAGTTTAATATTGTAATAGTATATTTGTTGCCGAACTAAAATCAGGCTTAGAGGTTTACATTTATTCGGAGATTTTTGCAATTAAATGTTCCTTATATTTGTCCTTGATTTTGCAGGTATCCTGTATTTGAAGCTTGAAATCTGCAAATTATTCAGTTTTCAAAGAATTAATGCATTATTATTGAGCTTGGATAACTTGACCTTAGTCTAAGCAATACTTATCTGTTTTGGAAAAATCAGTACAAATGTCTAATTGCATGGCTTACAATGTGACAGACAGTTCATTAAAATCTAAGTGATAGATTAATCAAATCAGCACACACACCATTCCTTTCATGTTTTATTTGGATCAAGGAGACAGCTCTAACACAAACCAGGTGCTCCTATCTCTTACCTTTAAAAAGGAGTAAATTTCAGGAATGTTTGACACTGCTGACCTCTTAACCCTCATATTGGCTGAGTTGGAAAATAACTTTTTCAGATTTTTTTAAAAAAGGTAAGCATAAGAGGGGACATAATAGAAGTTCTTTTAAAAGAAAATGGTCCCGTTTTCTCTCACACAGTAATAAACATAACATTGTGAACTTATTGTGATTTTTTTGGGGGTGGGGAGATAGGGAGAAAAATTATTGATTATATCCCATATACCAAATTATATATCATTTGATCAATAAATGGGAGTTAATAATAATAGGGATTCATGTGACATGCGATTTTTCTTATCGTATGCCACAGCTGGAGCGTTGTGTGGATTTTGGGACTCTTCATTATAAAGGATCATTGAGAGGGTAGATTCAGTAAATATTAATAATAAAATGGATAAGAGGAATGAGTTATAATGAAAAGATCAAAAACTGAGACTGTATTGTTAAGAGGCGGCCTCATTGAAGTGTTTACAATTATGATTTTGGAATCTAAACGGGGAAAGATTATTTCCACAAGATGATCTGTCAGTCACAAAGTGAGCACAAATTAAGATCATTACTGGAAACATAAAGTGGAGGTATTTTACACAAAGGGTTATGAAGATGTGGAACACATCTTAAATGTGCCTATTTCAGCCAACATTTAAGAGAATTAGATAAAAACTTGGATATAGATATAAAAGGATAAGCCTTCCAGGACATTACCCCACATGAAGGATACTATATAAAAGCAAGTTGTTGTTGTTACCTGAAAAGGCTGTGGATGCTGGATCCATTCAAATTTTCAAGACTGAGGTGGATAGATATTTGTTAGGTGAAGGTATCAAGGATAAGGGGGCAGGTAGTTAGAGTTGAGGTACAGAATCAGTCATGATCTTACAGAATGGCGGATCAGGCTTGAGGGGCTGAATGACCTACTCCTGTTCCTATGTTCCTATATATATTACAGAGACGGCACAGAAGTTAGATTATAGCAAATAGTACCATACACAAGCACAATATTGCCTTATCACATCAAAATATCTCAAAGGGCTTCCCACAATTAAATACTTTTAAGTGCATCTATGATTAGGAAGGCAAACGTGGCAACTAATCTACCACCAGCAATGTCCTACAAACAGCAATAAAAATTTGATCAGCTTTTGGTGGTATTTGGTTGAGGGGGAAACATTAATCTAGAATTTGGGATTGCTCCCAATTCTTCTTCAAAATAAACCATGAGATCGTCAGCATCCTCCTGAAACAATAGACAGGGCCAGTTTCTCACACTGGAATGTCAGCCTAAATTATGAGCTCAAGTCTTAATGTATCCTTGTGACACAGAGGTGAGAGCACCACCAAATGAAGCAAATCTACCCTGAGCGGCCTCCTGTGCTGACATTTCTAGGATTCTATATACGTGACCTGCAGATCAGGACCAACGGTTGCAGTTAACTACACGAGTTCCAGTTTGTACCATTCAGGTTTATAAAAATGACATTTATTTAGAAGTCTTCACGATCAAATCCTTCAGAAGTCTTTTGAATTTGATAGTTGCCAGTGTATATTCAACTTGTCTGTTCTTCACTTGCATTCAAACCAATCTGTTACCTTTCTCTCCAATACCACTCTCTCCAATACCGCTGCTTGCATTAAGTTTAGGTAACAATTTAATGAAAGTCATTTGAAGTGAGGATTTGGCGATGGTGTTGAATGTGGGATCCTGCACTGGTGGAAGTTTGGGGTGAAGAAGTTTGGAATTGAAATGGCGGCAGTGGGGGTGGCGATGGGCGGTAGTTCTGCACAAAGTGGCACTAAATTGGCATCTCACTTAGTAGTTGGAGAAACTGTCACTGGGGCAGTAAATGTGCCCTTTTAAGATTTGGGATAAGTTATGTTACTAAGGGATGAGCAACAAGTTTTATTCTGCAGGGTGTTCACAAAGTCCTGTTACCTCTTGTGTTTTTCTTACAATTAATTATTTTCTGTGGCAGATGAGTAGAGTGTAACAATATCTCATACCAGTAGCTTCTGTCACTCCATCCACGTTACAGAAGAGGTTGCACCGAAGATGCCGACGGATCATTATTTGCCATGAAAATGATGGACGTCTAAATACAGTAAACACTTTTACAGAATACAATTAAATACTTCTAAATAAAATCATTCTCCCACCTTTTAAGTTGTTGGTCTGTGCACTGCAGAAACAAAAAATGAGGGTAACAGGACTTTGTGAACACCCTGTACTCTAGGTAAGCGTAACATTGCTGACTTTAATTCAGAGATGTTACATTTAGTTAAAACAATGGCATAATTTTCAGTCGTTTTATCTGTATTTACCATCAAGAGTAAAGGGACTAACTGAAGTAAAGGATCGTGTAGGTGACCCAATAATATTTATCATGTGACTATCAGCAGATGTACATTATTAAGACTAAACTTTTTATGACCGTTTTGTAAGATTGTGGAAATGTGCTTGACGTTCTTTTCATGTACTAATACAAAGCTACTTTACATCTAAATTAAGGAGAGGTCAGTCATGGCCACTGTTTCTCAACTGATTTTTTTTCACTCAGATTGAAGAGATGAATCTCAGTATCACTGCTGGTGTATGTGCTCAGCCCATGCTGTGAGTTTAAACAAGTCTAGGTTGCGATTTGCAAAATAAATTAGAATACTTGGAATACTGAACTGTGTTGTTTTTGTTTACAGGAAACTGTAATTATGAAACCTATCAGAGGCATTAGGTACTTATACCTAAACTGTCCCGGTACTATGGATTTCTGAAGAGAATTTGACTGTGACTTGTATTTCTATGCGTTGAGTACACAGGATTTTCTGAAGATGGAGTAAATTCTAGCCACTATCCTGTTCTTTACCATTCAGTGTAGAAATACTGAGGCAAGAAGTTTGATCTGGACATCCAGCCTTGAAAGATTAATGTCATATTTAAAAGCTTAAGCTATTGTTAACTCAAGTTTGGCCAGAATAGGCTCTTCTCAGCTAATAAGTGTTAAATGATTTGCTGTAATTTTTTTAGTATCTAGTAGAAAGCAAACACAAACATTGCTTCTTGAGAGAATGGAAAAGCACCTCTAGCTGGCTTGGGTTCTGAACACACTTCCATCTTCGGTTCATATTTTGCTCATCTCCATACCCCTGACCATTCTCCTGCTCTCATCAGTTCTTTTCCACAAACCCTCTGCCAGCTTTTCTTGTTATATCCCCAATCTCTTCTTCCCTTCTAGCATCCATGCTCATTCTGTATTCATCTCCAATTTATGTATTAGCACCCATTCTGACTGTATAATTATCTTAACTATATACATAAACTGGTGAATCATTTTGCAACAATTAACTTTTGCATGGTGCCTTTCACATTGAGAGGATGTCTTAGGAAGTAAATAAATAAGCAAACAATATAAATAAGGGTGCTATAAGTTCCAGGCCCTTATTTCTATAACATTAATTTCTAGTATACCCAAAAGGTTGCATTGAATCGTAGCTTTATTCAATATCTTTGCATAGTTTCCAGAATCTTACAAATAGTATTGTTCTCATAATAAATAATAAATGCAACAAAAACCAGACCAATATTGTATGTCATTTGGTTATATTTTTAAAATCTATTTTTTGGAAGACTTCAATCAACTCCTCAAAATGTACGAAGATCAAGTGTATGCAGTACAATAAGCACCATTCAGTAAATAAGTCTGCATTAAAAACAGCTTTTAATCAAAATATTATTTACACATTAGATTTCATTACCATGTAGGACTGAATTGTCCATTGTAAAGTGAATGTGAGGCATTTCTTCTTTATTTATCACACACTGAAAGATGATCTGTGAAATAGTGCGCCTTACACTAACACAATTCAGTACACTTTGATTGTTACCAGGTTTTCTGTTACATGTGCAATGTAGCTTAAAGTTGGAATAATTTAACACCAAATGTTCACAACACACTGTATTGTATTCCACTTGATAGATTCTCCAATTTCTAGTCCAATTTAGTTTGCATTGTTTTAACCTGAAACTATGGTTTCCCAGCTTTTAGGATTAAACTGCAATCAAGGCTTTGAAATGTAACAAGGCACAGGCAGCTTGCAATAGTTCAGCTACAAGCTGTTGAGGACGATGACTAAAAAGTATTTGCTGAACAGAAGCAGTAAAAAACTACTCATTGATCTGTACAGTGCAGTTCATCCAAAGGCCAGAGCTTCTATGAAACCTCCTCTAAATAATCGGCCACATCGCTAAACTGTGAGATGGTGTGGTCTTGTGTGAGATCGTCAAGCTGCAAGAAAGTAAATCAGAGAAAAGCGTGAGGAAATATTGCACAAAAGAATGTGTATAATTCAATTACTGCTTCCACGAGGATGAAATACATTAGAACAAAACTTTTATGCAAATATTTAAAAAAACTAATTTAATTTTAATAAACAAATTCATATAAATATTTTCTAGATTCATAAAACATAAAAAAAAGCAAAAGCTATTGTGACTTCTAAATCATCCAATATATTTTGTATCATTTCCACATAACATATCAATATAACACAGGTATGCACTAATGCTTATTTGACTCAAACAGACATTCTGATATTTTCTGGATTATTTTAACAAACAAATCACATATGTAAAGCACTTTTCACTTTGGGAGACATCCAAGGTGCTGGACTGTCAGGAATTTGGATCCGAACTGGGGAGGGTTGGGATCCTGAGGGGTGGAGGGCAGTGAGGGCAGAGTTAAAAGGGTGGCCGAAGGTTTTCTTGAAGAGGTGGATCTTGAGACATGCCTTGAAGGAGGCAAGAGAGGGAGCGAGGTGAAGGGACTGTGGAATGGAGTTCCAAAGGGTGGGGACAGAGAGGCTGAAGGCCCGTCCGCCGAAGGTGGGTCGAGCCGGACGGGGGATGTGGATCAAGCCAGAGCCTGCTGAGTGGAGGGAGTGGACAGGTTGATATGGGGTTAGCAGGTCACAGAGGTAGGAGGGAGCAAGGCCACGTAGGGCTTTGAAGGCAAACTCTATTTGGGGGATGGGGAGCCAGTGGAGCCGGGCGAGGGTGGGGGTGATAGGATCATGGAGCTTGATGCCGGATAGGACACGAGCTGCAGAGCTCTGGATGATCTATTATCTGCAGCTTGTGTAGGGAAGAGTTGGGAAGGCCGAGAAGCAGGGAGTTGGCGTAGTTTAAATACTTTATGTACACAAAATATTTTCAAAATGCTGTCCTGGTAACATAGCATGGAAAGGTGCACTACAACAACATACAAATCAGAAGGTTGAAAGTTCAATTCTCAGCTTGATTGACCCAGCATATCTGAACCAGGGGCAATTGGGGCAGTACATTTTCCATCAATGCCACTAGCTTAAAGATGAGAAAAATCAGCTAGGATTCACATTAAGAGCCTCCTGGGCTATTGGCAGTAATGTAACCTCACCCCAGCAAGAATGAGCATTTTAAGGAGATGAGAAAAGAAGAGGAAAATAATGGTAGACTTAATCAACAAAAAATATATGGGAGCGAACACTGAAATCTTAAAATCGGTTAAAAAAATTACATCAGTAATGAGCATTCTTAACATTTGCAAATATCTAAGAAGTGACAAGGCATTATAAACTCTGGGTGCTGCTCTTTTATTCATATATTCTTGAAACAATTAGAGCCTGACGAATGGACGTTAAAACTCACTTGGTGGAAGAACTTTCTCTGGCAATATTGCATTTGCTTGTCAAATACCTCAAGCATTTGCTCAGACCATCTACATGAAACACATTGAACCTTAGTACCTTAAGGTTAAATGCTGTGCTAGTGTGTAGATGTCAAAAAACAAAACTCGGATAACCACACAGTTCTCAAACTTATGGACTCTGCTGCAGATAACTATTTCAGAACTATTTAAACTGTATTTTAAAGGCCAGAGTGCAACCAACATCCAGGGAAATCTATTCAATTTAAAAATAAATTGAAGGGATTATTATCCCCAGAAATCGATCCGCCAATTGATTTACTGGGTTCTACTTACTGCTGGGTAAGCAGAGTAAGGAAACTTGCCCAATGTTTTTGACCTGCCGGGAATCGAACCCAGGTTCTCTCGCTTGCGAGGCAAGTGCTGTGACCACTAAGTTACAGGACTCCATGTGTACATATTGACCATGTAAAGATACATAAATATAACATACACTTAATTTTCTTGCATATATTTAATTTTTTGTGAATACTAAAAGTTGGAAGATTTTAAACTGTTTCTGCAGATACTGTCAGTATATTTCACCAGGCTTGGTCAGGTCTACTTAGACTAATTAAGCAGCGATAGCAATGCTGGGCTGTACTAGTAATGTATAAGGTTTAAAGGGAAAGCGAAAAAAACAGGGAAAGGCACCAGAGAAAAAAACATTACAAAATTCTATATTTCATCATTACATTTCTAAAAACAGGGAAACTCAAACTGATGTGTTTTCAGTGCTGCTGAAAGGCTATATGTGAAATGCATTTGACCTCATTATTTTAACTTAAGAACAAGGAACTGAGGAAAATCATTTTCACTAGGAACTATTACAAACCTTATCACTGATAGCAAAATCTTCTCCTTCGATGGAGATGTCCTCTTCAATTTCTTCACCAATGCTCACATCACTCTTGGTTTTATCTGAACGCTGGCTGCCACTGTGATAGACATAATTGTAAAAATTTAGTCTCAAGTCTGAAAGATAATGTGTGATTTAAACCTTTTAACAGCAAAAAAAAATTAATTTGTACAGAATAATTCCAACACTACAAAATACAGTAAACAAATCTTGCTACCAATACAATTTGAAGTTATTTTTACTGGAGAAAAGTCACAACTAAAATGAGCCTACTAGTCATCAACTCTAAGTTCTTTAAAACTACAAAATCATAAACAGGAAACATAAAACAGAAATTTATATTATGTTTTGTGTCAGGAGAGCGTCTCGTTACTCAGGAGCACTTTACCCAGGTGGTGGTGGGGAGGGGAAAAGGTGAGAAAGATGGCCGATAGCATGATTAAAAAGATAAGTTGAGGTGGGCTTTAAAGGTGTGGTGAGAGGTGGGCAAGTTGGAGGCACTAGGGGAGAAAGTTCCAGAGATCGGCGGCAAAATGGCTGCAACCTAACCCAGTGGGGTGGATTAGGGGCGGGACAGTCTGCTGAGCAGAGAGCTCAAACGGGTTGTTAGCTTTATAGGAGTTCACAAAAGTAGGATGGGGCAAGACCATGGAGACATTTGAATATGAGGACGAGGATCTTGAATGGGTTTACAGACCTTGGTGTGGAAGAGGACAAGGGCTGCAGAGTTCTGGATTGTCTGCAGCTTATGTAGAGGAGCTGTAGAGTCTGCCGGGCAGGGCCATAGAATAATTAAATGTGGACACAACGAGGGCCAAATAAGGAATTTTGGGGGAGGGATTTCTTTAACTGGAAAGCTTTGTATTTAACATACAAATATAAAAAGTTCCTCTCTTGCCAATGAGTAAAAATGTTACCACTGATGTAAAACTGACACAAGGTAATGCTATCATAGCTGTATGGCCAGGATCCACTCAGACATTCCCACTGTGAGTAACACCTAGAGCAGTAAAACATGTGCAATCTTGGAAAGTAAATGTCCAATAATTAAAGAAAAACAGAACTAAAATATCTGGAACTCAAAGATTCAGAACCAAAAGAATGTTAAACAATGGGTACAAACAAAATAACTAGATTTTCTAAGTGAAACCCCAGTTTTTGTACCATGACTCCAAAAACATTTATAGATGATGAAAACAGGCAATAAAATGTCTAAAATGGCATAGGGTGGGCAGTGAGCTTTATTGAATCACATAAAATTGGGGAAAAAATTACATCTCAATAATGGAAAACAAATCTAATAATTGTCTGGGCCAATTCATTGGTAGACAATAGTGAGAGAGAATGTAAGCCATAACCTCTCAATAACTGCTCAAAGTGCTCTGTAACCAGACTGGAGTCATCTGACACTACTAGCTCATGTTGAATCAAATTTATGTCCATATAGCAATCAGCAAAAAACAAATCAGATTATTTCCCCCAATAAAGCACTTTATTTAGAGTATAGTACGTGAAGTCATCCAACCACACAATACAACTATCTTAAAATCTTAAAGAGATAGAAACACTTGATGATTTTCACTCATGAGATGTTGGCAATATCCTATTTGTATGCAGAGGTTGAACAGATGACAAAACCAGATATGTTCTATCAAATAGCAGCTGCAGAAGTAATTTTCAAATGAATTTTAAAGAAAACATTGTGACCTGATACTTCTGATTAGGAAATGCTCAACTTCAGTTCCGAATACTTGAGTCTGGATACCTGTCTGGATTACCATTTAAAATTAGCTCAGAGTTTAGTTAGCTCTTGACTGAGTTTCTGAGGGAAAATCAGGACCATTGCTGGCCACAGCAGCAATCATCCTGCTGCATAGCAGTATTGATAGCAATACTCTATCAGACAATCCCCTCCCACCTGAAGAAAGAAATAACAAATATTTCATTACATTCTCTTATTGTTTCACTTATGTTGCTACTAAAGTTATGACATTTACTATCAAACAAAACATGGAATGCTATTTCCTTTTTTACCACCCATATATTTCAGGATTAAAATTAACTGGTACCCAAAGATGGTGTTGAGGGTGAACATTCTAATACGGATGAGAAAATTGCACTGAACACATGTAGTAAATTATAAATTCCTTTCTTGATGAAAGAAGGCAAGGTTTGGCAATACTATAAAGATTGTTTGAAGTGACAATCCAACAGATTTTTCAAGGTTGATCCAAGTCAATTTTTCAAGATTGATCCAAAAAGTGGTCTCTGACCTAGTCCAAGGACCTTTGCCACAAACAAAATTGCTATCCTTCTACTAGATCAGATGAAAATTTGGTATGTATATTTGTACAATATCAAATACAAATGTGCAAATTTCTAATTAGATTATGTTTCCATGGTTCTCTCATAAAATAGGAAATCTACAGATGTTCTTCTATTCAAGCATCAACAAGGTGAAAATTGATCGCTACAGTATGCCCTTGTGCTAATATTTGTATCAAGTCAACATTTGGGGATGGCCAAAGATAAACATAACTTTGTATAAAATAGGCTTAAGAAATTGTTCTGTCCACAAAGAACAAACTATTTCTAGTTGATATTATGTGCCTTATTCGATTCAATTGAGTCCGGTAGCTTTGTGGTTAGAGCACTCGCCTCGCAAGCGAGAGAACCTCGGTTCGAATCTCGAGCAAGGCAAAACGTTGAGCAAGTTTCCTTATTCCACACAACAACTTGCACTTATATAGTGGCTTCCACGCAGGGTAGTGTCTCAGAGCGCTTAACAGGCAATGGAGCCTGACTTCAGGTCGGGGGGGTGGGGGGCATGGTCGAAGAGGAAGGTTTTCAGGCGGGACTTGAAAAATGGGAGAGGAGGCAAGGCGCACGGGTTGAGGGAGTGTTTCAGAGTTTCGGGGAAGAGGCTGAAAGCGCAACCTCCGATGGTGGGGCGGAGGGTGCAAGGGATGAGCCGGAGGTCAGTGCTAGTCTAGCGGAGGTGCCGGGGTGGTGGATTGGGGAGTGAGGAGGTCTGAGAGTTAGGGAGGTGCCAGAGTGAAGGGATTTGAACACCAGTGTGAGGATCTTGAAATCTCCTCTGTTCACTTAGCAGTAAATAGCAAGACAGTTATTAGTCGATTGGCGGATCACTTTTCTGGGGATAATAATCCTTTCAATAAAAAAATAATAATTTGGTCGCTCAATCCGCGACTGTTTGTGGGACACTGCTGTGCGCAATTGGCTGCGCCGTTTCACTCACAAAATATACAGCCAATTCACTTTACAGTATATTCTGTGAAGTGCTTTGAGACGTCTCGAAGACGTGATAAGATCTATATAAATGCAAGGATTATTATTTATTATTATAACTGTTTCCACACTGAACAAAGATAATAGTTCTTTCAATATCCAAGTCATCACGAAGCAGCTCATTGAAGAAGGTGACTAAGAAGATCTGACTAACTCTCCAGCTAGGATAGTAGGTTTCTCCCATGAGGAAGAGTTCATTCATTTGATTAGTACAAAGAAAGTTACTTGCAAAAGATAAGTAGTCACATTTGAATGTTTCCATCCATGGTGTGAATCAGAATACAACAGAAGAATCAGAAGCTACATTATCTACTCAAATGAATGACTATTACTGTGAACCTGGATTATTTAAAAGTGTCACCTTCAGATCAGACAGCACTGGATAAATACTTGAAGAAAATTAATATTAAACATATGGCAAAAGAGGAGGGGAATGGGATTAGAGGTGATAGCTCTGGGTGCAGAGGCGAGCACCATTGACCAAATGGCTTTCTTATGTACTATATGAAAATGTTATGATTCTATATTGGTTCTGAAAAAGTCTGAAAGCATACCAATTTCAACCATGTAACAATTACTTCTGATTTGTTGTTGAAACATTTTGGTTGCTCTTCACTGAATCCTTTCAAACATCTGGTTATTTGTTTGTAAATAGAATGCCCAAACATGGTATCATTTCCATGCACTTATCTTTTATAGATTTACTTATATACAGCAATATTTCATATCCTTTTGTATGATTTGTGATTGCTTTGCAAAGATATCCAGCAAGTCTGAATTTTCTCCACTACACATCTTGCTACCCAGATTTCAGTGACTTAATCCTCAGAATGTCACAGATTAGTTCTGTTGACCTAGCATGATTACTACGTGGGAGCCCCACTGAGTTTACTCAGTTTTGTAAAATTAAAAATAAGTAGACAAAAAGAGAAAAAGATAATAAAGTTAAAAAAAAGGAAACAACGATTTTTATTTTATGTGTTATTAAAATTAATTTCATTTTGGAACAATTATAAGGCCCTCCTGGAAATATGGAGATCTGCGGGCAGTCTATGAGCTAAATCTAGAACTGAAACAATCAAAGTAAAAGATTTTAACATGGAGATATCTTTGCCCATTAAATAAAGTTTAACCATGGATGATCAACATTAATGTTTGACTGAACAAATTCAATTTAACAAAGTTCCATGAAAAGGTATTATCCAGAATACAACAGTAAAATGTAAACAAGAATGAAAAACTTTGCCTTACCTGATGAAGTCATCATCATAATAATCTTCTTCATCTCCTGTTCCTAAAGTAGACAGCAAATGTTAATTGGTTTATGAACACAATTTCAAAATAATGGTTGAAATTCCATCAGTGGTGAATTTAATTGTATCAAATCCTTTTTCTCACAGTGCTGTTACTTACCTAGGCCCAGTGTGCCAATGTTTTCATTCATTGCCTTAAGATCCAATAATTCTTTGCTTTTATCCCCACCTATAGAGGCCAAAAAAAAGTTACTCAATACACTCTCAGTTAGTGCTACCTTCAGCAGACTCTTGAAGACTCTTTACAATGAATTATAAAAGCTAATATGTTATTTGTACAAGAACATAAGAAATGCTAGACGAAAAAAAGACCAAGGTCCATCTAGTTCGCCTTCCTGGTGGTCGCACCACAAGTCCCAAACTACCTATGCGCTATATCCCATAATGTTCTTTCCTAAAACTATTTAATCTGTGTTTGAAGGACTCAACACTTCCTGCTTCAACCGCTTCCCTAATTTGTGGCAAATTAAGGGTTCTGTTTTGGTAATGCATGTACATATTAAAATTTGGTTCAACATTAAATACCCTTTATGCAGATTAAACATTTGTATACACTTACACTCAATGTTCTTTTTAAAGAAGAAACTGTACAGCAGTAGCCTAAACCTTAAAGAAGGAGCACAGTAGAAAGATTCACTTAAAAGTTAGAAGTCACAAAATGCTGCAAGTACCTTCAGAAGTCACTTGAACACTGAATAATTACAGGAATAGAAGTTACTTCTTGTTTATATCCTCACGTGTTCTAATGACCATCTTTCACTTACCTCTCTTGTCAGTTACTTTTAATGGAGATGCTCCTGCCAGGGACCCTAAGGCCCCACTCAGAGGTGGAGCATCTGAAAGGGATGTAAGGCCATCTGAAGGCTTGTCAATCCGCCTAGTTGGGGAAAAAACAATTTTTTTACATGTTTCTCATTGAATAATTTATGATCTGATCCAACATTTTTTCTTCAAATGGTAGATACAGAAACTATACAAGAAGAAACTGGTGTGAATTTTTTGAAACGTTGGCTTGGTAGAATATAACAAGAAGAAGATTACATTTGTATAGCGCCTTTCACATCGGGAGGACGTCCCAAGGTGCTGGTGGATGGGCTAATAAGTCTATTCCTGCTTTAAACTGTTATTTGAGTCAATTTAGTGGTACATTTGATATGTAATGCATTGAATGTTACCTAGATATGCCAGAGAAAGACCCCACCTTCTCCCCATGCAATTTTCAGTGTCCTTGAACCACCAGAGTTGAACTTTCAGCTGGTTACCAGGTAATTGCCCTTTTTGTAAACAAAAATTTAGAGTAGCTGATATCTCACTAAATGGTACTTGAATGTCGTGACCTGCAAGTTCAATGCTATGGGCGTCAGCATTAAGAACGTTATTGCCACCAGTGCATCAAGAGATCGTCTGATGCGATAAATATCAAATAAAATGCTAAATTGAACCCAATATGTTTCTATCTTTGAAACTAGGTACTAAAGACAGCAGCTGGTTAAACCAAGATTACAAATTATGGAATTCTCAACCACCCACAGAAAAAACTTAAAAGTTTACTGTTTGCTCCATAGTCAAGTACATTTGCTTCAAGATTTGGCCGATTAATACAGATGGATAGCTTTACAAGTAAAAGGTAGAGAATAATAGCTATTGCATAACAAAATGAGAGCCAGGAACAGTTTATAGGCTAGAAATCACATTGTTCAATGACTTCATAAGCCATTGCAGTAAACCTCAAACAATTTGTAACTTGCCATCTGGACCTCAAGATGACATTAGACCCTTGAAATCACTCCAAATAAATAAAGTACACAGTGAACTTCAAGGGGTTGTTTCATGTCGCGTTTGGTTTGTTTTCTTTGCAAGCAGCAAATGAAGGCGGACGTAGATGGCTGATGTGCCCTGTTATTGATGTGGGATGACTTCCATACTGAAGTCATAATAGTTGTAATAATCAATATAGATTTATCAAGTGATAATTAACAAATGATTGCCAGGAATTAAACAGAGACAGAGGCTCGGTTGTCAAAGTGAAAGATTAAAGAGTTAGTCATTTATGCACCATTTATACTGCTGGAAGCGACAATGGGATATCACTTCCAGATTTATACTTCCGCTCCTAATCACATTGACTGGAGGCTAAGCAGATTTCTCTATCTGCGAACAAAGAGTGTCATGGTGATAAACACAGCATTAGAAATACCTAACATATGAATGATGAAATTAGAATGCTGTCATGAAATCGCTCCCTTGAATCCATTACTTACAATTAGTATTAGTTTAGGTTTATGTCGCATCCTTGATCCATAATTCATTAGGGAGAATTTGCAAATGTTATCAAAAAACAATCTACAATGGATTACTTCGAAATTCCATGGCCAGTAATATATTGTGGATAAATGGCACACAGCTGTAATACAATGTATTAGTTTGAATGAAGTTATAACTGGCAAGAACAAAGTGTAAGTACTTTGCCCAGTTATTCAAAATCCCAAGTATGGCACAACCTTGAAATGATACTGCTTCTTATTAATAAAGATCTATGCACTTGTGTTTCCATAGTTTTGTCTGCATTGTACCTCTCCCACAGCCACTAACAAACTTAAAACAGCTGAATATTCTGCATGGCTCATCATAACGCATCAGTGTGCAGAAGCAGTAGAGCGAGCAAACTAGGTCTTAGGGTGTACAGCTAGAATGATGAGCATTAGACGTAGGAGGTGATCCTGAACGTGTACATATTGGTACCACCTGGAGCACTGAGTGCATTTCTGGTTGCTGTATTATAGTACAGACATATTGGCAGTGAAGAGGCTATAGCAAAGGGTAACTAGCCTGACAGCTGGAATTAGGCACCCAAGTTATGAAAAAAAGATGGGAATTTTCATACTAAAGAGAAGGCTAGAGGGTGATTTTATTGACATGTTGAAAAGTGAAGCTCAGAAGAGGGAAAGTAAACCGAGAGTTTAGATTTAACAACATCAAACAAAGAATGGAATAGAATCCTCAAGGATGAGTGTTGATGCATGGAGGGAATTAGAAGTTTATTTGGTTGAGAAATCTAGTGAGATGTATAAGAGTATAAGAGATGGAGTACTGTATGATTTTTTATTTCTTCAGAAAACGTCAGATGGATCACAATGATAGAAAGAAGGGGACATGTAATAACACTAATCACAGAGTTAGCTGGGATTGGTTTCAAATGCTTTGCGAGGCATTTAAGCCCTTTGTATAATTATAAAATGTTAATTCTTCCAAAATAACTGAATTCAAATAAGGTTGAAAATAGATTACACCACTGACCTCAAATTATTAGTATTTTTATACTTCAAACACTTTGCAAGCACATTCATATTCCTGGCACTTGGAAACATTTTCACTCCTGGACTCTTGAAATTGTTTCCACTTACAAACAACTAATGTTCCCCTAACAAATCTCAGCTAATCTCAAACCAATAAATGGTATAGGTGATCTCACCTCTCCAGAGCACTCTGTTTATCATCTGCCTCTACAAAGGGATCCTCTGCTTCTTCATCGGTGTCACTGTTTGTATCAGAGGTTCTGACCCAGTGAGAAAATAATGCAGCATGAAAGAAATGAAAAATGGAGAATCAAGGAAAGACATGCATCATACACAAAGCAAAGGTAATGATAAGCACACCAAAACAATCTTTGAATTTGCACTTGGGTTTCAGTCCGGCTCAGTTGGTAGCATTCTTGCCTCTGTGACAGAAGGTTGTGGATTCAAGCCCCTCCTATGGGACTTTAAGCTCACAATCCAGGTTGACACTCCAGTGCAGTGCAAACATTAATACATCAGGCAGCAATAATGGGTTTAATGACTGAAGCAATTCAAATCAGGCACTCAGTGGTTGAAAATATTCTTCAACACCTATGGCTTCTTTCAACTTTCTGTGACAAGGCACCACATTTCCGTGGTGTTCAGAGGCTTTCAAATGTCTGCATCAATTTCAGATTCAAGGATTTTGTGCAATATATGTATGTATATATATTTCAAATGTCAAAACTTTCATAGAGGCCAAAAAGCTGTCTTTTTAATGGTGATAATATTTTGAATCTGACAAAGACACAGCACAGCACTACCAGCACGAATACTGCCTGCCAGCATAAATATCTATAGTTCTATAGAATCAAATTATTGAATGTTCAAAGTTTTAGAGCCAACAGAAACAGGTTGTACCCATTATGGATACGACATTATCCAGATACAAATAACTGAAGTACTTACACTTTTTGGCTGCCCTTCTTTTTACTATTTGAAGAGTGGAGCCCTGAAATGCTTCTATCTTTCTGGGATGAACTGATATCACAGCAGAAATTAAACAAAGAAAAGGAGCAGGATATGCAACAGAAAGGAAAGAACAGATAGACAATAGGTTAATAGCTGTAATAGTCAAAACAGCAGCTAATGCAAGTTTTTTAAAATAATAATGCAGTTCATTAATGACTAATTGTTAGAAATAACTTCTTTTTAGTTGCCTTTGGAAGGTATAAAGATTACAAGTTAAGAAAATAATAATCCTTACATTTGATGTCTATAATGTCAGGGATGTCTCAAAGCACTTCACAAGATTTACTGCCAAGTGTAGTGACTGTGAACTTGAAGGTGAACATAGCAGCAAATTGACAGAACAGCAATATCCCCAAAAAGGGGATGAAGTGAATTACTACATTATCTGAAGGATTGTTGGTCAGGACACCAGGAGAAACTCTATACTCATTTTGGAATAATGCTATTGGATCTTTAACATCCACCTGAACTGTGTCAGCCTGGACTATGAGCTCACCGGCCCGAACTTGCAAGTTGTCCTTGTATACCACCTTAGAAAAACATGTCTAAAATATTCAGAGCATGTAATGCTGAGCTCAGAGCGGGGAAGGGAGATTAAAGGAGGTATCCAAAGGCATAGTCAAACATGATTTTTAGAAGGCTTTTAAAAGCATGGAAAACAGAAACAAGGCAAAGAGCATTCCAGAGGGAATATGGTGTCTGAGGCCTTGGTGGAATGGAAGGAGTAGAGAGAGAGAGAGAAATAGACCAGAATCAGAAGAGCAGAGTGTAGAGCCAGGAACACAGCACTGGAAGGCTAATAGTTAGCATAGGGATCTGAAAGTCTAGCCATGAATCTTAAAAATTGATCCACCAAGTTATTGAGTGAAATTATCAAGCATAATAATCTTTCCAGAACAAATCTGTCTGTTCTTCAGAGGATATTAAAGATCCCATTACACTACTTGAAAAGAGAAACAAGTTTCTCCTAGTGTTCAGTCCTCCAGATTAATTAGTAATTTGACTAATGAGCAATATTTGCCAACCAAACAGGTACTACACTTGACATCAATTACCTCTTGAGATTCTATGAGACACAAAGTGCTAATTCAATATAAAAATACAAGCTGTTAGTATTTTTATAAAAATGGAAGCTGCTGTTGCCTACAATTTTGAATTAGTGGAACATGAAACAAGATAGGTTTAGCTTTGTTACCCACGAATAGTGTGATATTACTTTGATGACTGCCAATCTGTCATTCAGGAGGTCTCAGAAATCGTAGGAACTCGCTATTATTTATTTGTTTCTGTCCATCTCTCTTTCAGCAATCATTTTCCCACAATCATACGTGCCCACTAAGCACAAATGGTGTACCAGTAAGGATGCATTGAATCACAAAACATCAGATGCCAATCATCAGCACAATTACAGAAACTAAGTTCAAACTCTAAATTTTACGTCACATAAGCAATGCACCCTGTGCTCGTTCTTTCATTAAGGTTTGGAAAGATTGTAACAAATAATCCAAGAAGTCAACAGAGGTAGATAGTTTGAGCACAATATTCTACAAAGATTCTGAACTCAATAAGGTCTGTTTTTCTGTAGTTGTGCACAGCCTGAAGAGGAGCAACCATGTGGAAATGATAATGCCCTTTAAGAGTAGGCAGCTACAGTGAACATTTGATATGCTATAAACAGACACTTCAGAAAATCATGACATCAGGTGCTTATATTTCTTTCTAGAAAGAATGCTGGAGTTCTCAAACATTTTCTGCATAACAGCTGAAGTGTAACATTTCAAACAGGCAGTGTAAAATTATTCAGACCTTAAAAGTTAGCTTTGTAAGACCATACTTAAATTCAAAAGGGAAAATCTGGAAAACAAGGCCAAATAAAGTGCAACTAGATCCAAAATCAAACTTGTCCTGCAGCAATATTCAGTGAGCTAAAACCCAAGAGAATTGCAATGTAGTAGTTACCACTGTCAAAGGAATGCCTTAGAAGTCCAAAAAGCTCAGTTTGAAACTCATTCTGTTGATATTGGAATTATAATGCAAAGCACGCTCCATATCAAGCTAGATGGGATGGAATTTGCCCACAAAATATACAGTTAATTCACTTTACAATATATTCTGTGAAGCGCTTTGAGACGTCTCGCAGACTTGATAAGGCGCTATGTCAAATGCAGGATTATCATTATTAATTCATTGATATCACAAGCATCAGAAATAGTGAGGCTTGAAATGAAACATGAGAAGTGTAAATGAAATAATGGGCTTGGGCTTCTTCTTTATCTTTTTGCACTGAGACCTGATACGGAACCTATGTTTTCAAATGACAATATCCAATTCTGTTTTCAGAGACCCAGATAACTCTTTCAGTCTTTAAACTCCATTTTAGTTTAGAGGCATTGATTGTGGCTTTCGATTGCAAAAAAGAAAGCTCAGACAGATGCAGCATAATTAGAAGATAGCAACTTTCATGTAAAAGTAAAAATAATTGAAACAGCCATGTCACTAATAAACTCGCCCAGATCTGGATGTCGAAATACATACAATTGGGGAATCCACAATATGGTAAACATTTAATACTTGGGCTAAATAAAGACTATCCAAAGCTTAACTTCTAATGTGTCGAAAACAAAAAACAAGTGGCACATTAACAAGATGAAATGACTTGGAACTAACCAAATTCATGATGACAGCTGATGTAAAACCAATGAAGCTGGCAGACAAATTCCACCGTGTTCTAGTTTATGTTGTGTTAATATTTCAGATCCTGCAGAATTGTGAAAAATTCTTAAAATCATTTTTAATTTCGAAGTCAATTCTTTTATAGATAGATCACTTACTTTCCCAACATATCTTAGTATTTATTTTTCAAAAGGGCATTGTATCAGAATCTTTACAGGTCTTTGCAAAACTGTTCAAATGAAACCTACCAGTTATATTATATCAGTATTATAGTATAGATAGCATGCTTCGTGTGCTACAATGTCGTGTGATGTTTTACCAAAAAGCGTTTTATTATGTGAATAAAATATGTTGGTAATGTGATGGCACCACATTACCGCAATGCCCTTTAGAAAAGTAAATACTAAGATTATTGGGAAAGTAAGTGATCTATCTATAAAATAATTTGTTTTTCAAATTAAAAATGAATTTAAGATTTTTTCACAATTCTGCATGATCTGAAATCTTAAGGCAAATTGTTCTTACAAACTAAGTTGGAATTTTGGGCCTTCTGTCTGCCAGCTTCATTGGTTTCAATGCAGCTGTCATCACTGAGTTGATTTTACTGTGCATGCAGGCTTCTAAACCTGGCAAAACATTGCAGAATATATTAACAGACAATAACACATCCTTTAAAGTGCATATTTCAGGATCAATATTTCAGTTTGCTTATTGATTGAAAACAAATTGTGGAGAATGCAGCTTTAATTTAAAAAACAGAAATAAAAATAAGCAAGATGGTGTACATTCTTTAAAACTTTGCCAAGGGCAGAACAAATAGAAGATCCCTTCTTTCACAATCTTCTCAGTTTTAAATGGAATGCTATATTTAATATGCCTATGTTTTGGCTCACCAGCCATAGGTTTTCACTTGTTTGGGCAAAGGGTCATCAAAGAACGAGTCTCCCTCATCTTCGTCATCAAGATCCAGCTGTCCACCTTTATTTAATTCTGGAAGGCTGACAGTTGTGCTAGGCTTCACGTCTTGTTTTGGCTCTCCACAGGACTGATTGATTTTACTTTTTAGGTCACCTGAGACTTTGCTGGCTTCACTAACACTCATGTCAGCAACCTTAGGAATGCAAATAAAAGCACACAAAAATTAATTACGAAAAACACAACTTATTATAACACTGTATGAAATCTGGAAAATTTAAAGCAGACTACTAGGTGTTTCTTAAAAAGCAGTTAAGAAGTTTAAACCACCAAATGCCACCCAGATACCAAAAAAACATTTACCTTTAATGCCTAGAGCTCCTGGAAGAATAAGGTGCTTAAATATAGATAACAGAATTTTACATTCTAATTGTAAAATAACTGCTAAGAAATACAAATCACATTTAAGTAAAGCAAAATAAACCTAGGCTCCTGCACCTTCTAACCTAGTTACAAAGATAGTCTGGGTTACTTCATAAATACCCAAGGAATGAAATGTGTTTGTGTCAATCAATAATTATCCTTTTAGCCAGTCTTACATTAATGTAATTCTTGCTACGTGAACACAAACTTTGGTAGATTGTTCAAATCACAATGTCCAGAATTAAGGACATATAAATCTACTAGGTACAACCTTGTGAATGCAGACATATGACAGATTAACCTCAATTCTGAACAGAAAGCATTGTGTTCACAGAGCACTTCTTGTACATTTCAAAGTTTTTACGAATATTTCAAACCTTCCTTTCCTTTCAAACATGCATACTGACAATAATTTGCACTCTACAGGGATTCCAATTGTGTTGTAGGTAAAATCAGATGTTGCTATATTACCTGGAGATAAAAATCTGTCTCAGTGAAAAAGGATAAATCATTATTGATAAGTATTTTGCTTCAATCTTTTTGACTTTTGTTATCTGACGTAAACGAAGAGCAGATATTATTTCCAACAAGTTCCTTTCAAGTTAATATAAATTTAGTCACACAAACTCGTTTCATATGCTGGTTTATATATGAAGTCAATGGTCTGTTACAAATCAGAATCACTATATAGCATTTGATGTTTAGCTCAAAAACATGCAAATATTCCAGGAATACAAGCCTGCTTTGGCTTGTGAAGAAACACAGAATATCTCCATTGTTAAAGAGAAAGGCATAGTGGGATATCTAACTACATGTTAATCAGACTACAGGTCAGTGGCTGGCTATTTACTCTCATGAGTACATTAACCATTAGCACAGATCAGCACACAATACTGAATTGGCACAGAAACAGAATGTAAAAGAAGAAAACAGCTCATAGCAACACCTTCACCACAAGAGTGTAATGAACTGTAAGAATGTAATAAACTATTTCAAAGAGCTTGAAATACGGCTATTAAGTTAGTGCCACATAACACTAAGCACCTGAATTTGAAAAGTTAGTTATTTTCCTTCCTTACTTAAGGCAATAGAGCAATAAGCAAAGTGTAAAACTTTCTAGCATAAATTAGATGACAAGGCAGTAATAATATCCATTCCTGAAATTTGTCTAATATGATTCAAATGTTGGGTAGCTGTTGATCTACCCCCAAAATATTATGTCTGGTGATGAAGCATTGCTGGTGAGCTGTATCACCTACTAATAATTTTAAACTACGGTAATCTAAATGTATGCATAGCTCTGCAAGATCCACATTCTCTAAAACACCCTGTGTATATCTCCCAATACAATTTAGGGAGTTTGTTTGCTGTGCCTGTGCTAAGGGTAAATGTATGAGCGTATGCCAACATGTGGTTACCTTCTCACCAGCTTTCTCCCCGCTCTCTTTAACTTTACCAGTTCCTTTGTATCTAGGTATCTGAGCATGAACATAAAAGAAGTCATTTAACTAGTGCCGCATCTGGTATGGAATCAGTGACCCCAAGTAGTCAGCAGGTAAAAAGGTGATGTTTTTAGTAATAGAAGCTGAGCTCATTTAAACTTCCTGCAAGTATGTGAGGCAATATGAGAAAGCTTTTACTGGAGAATCAGTACAATATGATAAAGTGGTTAACCCAGTCTGGTAAAACAATATACACTCTGAAATTCAACATTTAGGCTTGTATTCCTTCAACATTTGTTACTGTTCTCTGAATCTATACCCACTGAAGAGTGTCTAAACAGATTGGGAATGGATTTAACTTTTCTACTAGAAATCAATTCAAGGCCAAGTTTTTTTCCTAAGGAAACAGTGCATATAAAATAAATTAATTCTACTTTATGTACAGTATGCTTATTAGCAAGGAGAGCAAATCACTAGCTTCATTAGAAAGCACAAATGGGTTGGACAGATTTCTAACGAGTAGTAACACAATGAAAGAGGCATGAGAGAACCATAACACTGACCTCCTCATTCTTCACAGGAAAGCATGAAAATAAACTTGGAAAGTCAATGAAGAGAACAGGCTCATAATTCTGACAATCAACTTAATACAAAACACTAAATACTGGAAGACTAACTACTGTATAGAGTCAAAAGCATTAAGAATCAAACAAATGCATCCTCAAAACTTTAGACCTAAAATGTACATTTTCACTTAGGAACTATATAGAGACAGCTCAATGATTTTTGTTGTGGGGTTAGAACAGTAAATTTACAGGAAAGACAGAGCAATGAAATATTTTACACGACCAACCGACAAAATGGGGATAAAAATACATAAATTATTACATTTTCGGATTCTCAAAGTATGGCTTTCCTAAAAAAAACTGATGGTAGTTTTGTTGTTTTAACATTTTTTCTCTCACTTAATAAAATTAATTAATTTATTAACAAATCAAGTTGATATCATGGTTTTCCTATTTTATATACAGTTTAAAGCATTGTAATAAAAATCCAATGAAAATCTTGAGTTCCCAGTTAACACCCTTTTTATAGTGGCATACATGATTGACGGGGCAAAAGAAAATTTTGTTCATGTTTGTGACCGTAAATTAAAAACTCTACCAACTGTATACTCACCCACTCTAAAATCTGCATACCCATCAACAACAACATCACACCAGTCCTCACCAAGCTCCACTGGTTCCCTATCCTACAGCATATCGATTTCAAGATCCTTACACTCATTTACAAATCCCTTCAATCCCTGGCACCTCCTAACTCTCCGATCCGCTTACTCCCAGTCAATCATCCACTGCCTCGGCTCGACTGGCTCCAACCTCCTGCTTATCCCTTGTCCCCTCCACCATCGGCGGTTGTGCTTTGGAACTCTCTTCCTCAATCCAATGGCTTTGCTCTCTCCTTCCCCATTTTCAGACCACAACTGAAGATCTTCCTCTTCAATTGTGCTTATCGTCACCTCCCCCCCACCATAGGCTCCACCACTGTTAAACGCGCCGAGACACTACCCTGTATGAAGGGCACTACATAAATGCAAGTCGCTGTTGTTGTATCATGCAAATTCTTGTTGGGAAGCTCCACACTTGATTTTGCATCAGCTTTTTTTTGGTCAGCTAGGTATCTGACACCTACAAAAACCCACTATCATGCTTAAGAATATCCAAACCAAGAAGAGTTCCACATATGTACGCAATCTACATATGGAAATTTCCCCACATCTGAAATGGAATGTGCACTTTCTCCCTAAAGGGACACTATCTGTTTACTAAATTCCAGAGAATATTGGATGCAGATGGCAAGAACCAAGGCTTGGGGATCCCAGAATATGTGTTGAGGTACTGCTGGAATTTCACCAGCTAAAACCAGAGATTGTCACTGAGAGCACTTTTTTTCTGGCACCCTATCCATTAGAGTATTGGCTGGAGTGCTGTGTTAACTGGATACGAGAAAGAAGAATTCCAGCACTCAGAGACTGGTCTCCCCCTCCAAGTCCCGCCGATGAGCCAGGCTGGCTGGGTTGCATCAGCAGTCCCCGGGAGTACTGTAGGCCCGCCTGGCTCAGGAACCAAACTACTGAGACCGCCACCGAGGGTTGACTCGATTCCGACATTCCATTGCAAAAATGATTCTCATGGAGCAATGGCTCCCTTGGGGCTGGTGGTGCTGGTCCATTTGGTACAGAGAAGACAGGAGCTTAAAATGAGCAGAACAGAACTGCACATATGATACAATTGTGCACATTTTAAAACTTCCACATTCAAGATAAGTTCCACAAAACTACTTAAGAGGATGGCCAGGACAGAAATAAGAGTTAGGTGGCTGGTGCTAGTCATGTTTTCTTGTGCTTTGGCCAACTTTATCTCTGTACTATTGGTGAAACCACCTTGTAGAATAAATGGGATAGTTTCAACAGAAAAGAGTGCTTCCAGATCTGCTCTTCACATAAATGAGATAAAGTGGAACTTGACTACTTCATTCCAGGCACAGCAGTAAAGTGTGCATTTTAGCCAAGTCTTTTTTTACATGATGAAACATTCCTTCCTTTAATAAGTTTCTAATATTTTTCACTTTTTCCTTTCTTTACATCTAATCTTTCTCTCTTAATTTTTTAACTGGCTGTTTCCTTTGCAATGGATTTTCTGACCATATGTTCCCTTCATTCATTTGGCATTAGGCATTAAGCTTGTCAAATGGATCTAAAGACTGACTTAGACTGAAAAAGAAAATTTACAATAAAATAATAATAATCCTTGGATTTGATATAGAGCTGTTCATGTCTTCTAGACATATCAAAGCGCTTCACAGAATACATTGTAAAATGAATTGACTGTATACTTGTGGGCAAAACGCAGCAGCCAATTGCGCACAGCAGTGTCCCACAAACAGTTGTGGATTGAGTGACCAAATTATTATTGGGTTTTTTTGAGGGACAATCTAGATGATATATGATTTTAGCTGGGCCCTACTGCTTCTCACAAATTTAAGGTCAAATCTATGCCTGTTTCCATGCCTTATTTTTGAGTTGATAATAAAATAATAATATGAACCAATATTGCTCATAGTCAATGCCTACAGTCACAGGTCTACAACATGAATGAAATAAATTCAAAAGCTCAGCCAATAACCTTGAATATTTCTTTATACTAATAAAATGACAATGTCTGTCTGCGCTTCAAGAAGGATCTCAATAACCGATTGACGTAGAGACATGATTTATACCTCATCAAAAAGGTCTTGCATCTGGGAGAGACATGGGGATATTTGTTTTCAGGTGTCTCCTATCCTTCATGAGCTATTTTCAGTTTTTCGCTGCAGTTACACCTGGTGGTGGCCGAGTCAAAGTGCCGCTATGGCATCATGCGTCATAGAGTATACATATTGCCAAGCGGCGGGAACAAAATAACAGACGAAGCTAAGCCGCGGCAACACCAACAAAATTACATTTTTAAAGCGCCAAGTCCTCCCACAGGAGTCCTCCCAAATGAGTATAGATAAAGATGAAATGTCTGTCTGTGTGTCTATATGTGTCAATCTACATTCCATATTGGATCCTTTAGTTGCAAGCATGGCTGCAATGGTTACAGCTAGTATATATATACATATATAAAAAACAGTACCATACTGTTAAAAGTTACAACAGTGCTTTGCCATAGCATTGCATATTTGTGGGATGATGCTAGTACCATTAATAAGCCACAAAACTAAGCTCCTGATCTCAGACACGCTACTGAGTATCGTGCTGATACTTTCTCACAATAGGCAGTATTCCCAGTATGCACACTTTCTGGTGAGCAGCTCAAAGCAGTATTTTGTGGAAGGCTGGAAACAGTTTGTTTCCACCCTCTTGATTCGAGTGCATAGTGATGCAAGGAAGGAGAGAAAGAGAGGGCGTCGTCCTTTTACATTTAAAACAAAATAACTTTCCACAAGTTAGCAGGGACAGAATTTAAATCAAGAAAAGATGCAAAACTAGTTTAACCTCCATCATGCCAGTTCAGCTTCAAGCGCCTTTGCATGTTAAGAATACCTGCTCTAAAATCAGAGACGGTTCCCATGTGACTCCTCAGTTAAGGAATTCCATTTGAAATCACTGATCCTTGGATCCCATTTTATCAAAACTACTATCTAGTTCATCTCTGGCTCATTGTATGTGCTTTCTGGATTCTTACCGCATTCCTGTGTGGTTACATCATTAAAATAAGAATACCGCAGCCGTCTTAATGCAGAGGAGAAAGTTAAATTCCTGATCTAGGAGGCAGCATATGGAAATTACATGCTTTCCCACAAAGAGGAATAGGAAACTGTCCAAAAAAACAAGAATCACCCTAGACTATTTGTGTGAAGATAAATGAAGCACAACATATCCTAAGAGAGAGAAACTGGGGAAATTTCTTTTTTTATAAAAAGGGAATGCTTCAATCACATATTTCCATTTCTAATCACAAAAAGACAATGGTAATAAGGCAAAAATGTACTATATAAGAGCACCATCTAGTGTCAGCACACAAGTTCAAACAATTCTCGATCACACTTATTTACAGCTTACATAGAATTACATACATACAGTACAACAATGTAATTGGCCATTCAGCCCAACTAGTCTCTGCCAGTATTTATACTCACGAGCTTTCCATTCATCCCAGTTCCCCCTTATCCCCCTTTAATACCTCTCTATTCTTTTCTGACAACTTTTGTTCAGATAACCTATCTGAAATGCATTTCAATACAGATACAAGAACCACAACTTTAATTTACTGGCTCCGTATTTGTGGAACTATTCTTAAAATTAGTGCCGTTTCACCATTAGGGTGCAGCAGCTGAACATTTCCCTAAATTCTTTAGGTGTCAGTCTGATGCAGCAGCACTCTCACCTCCACGTCAGAAGGTCATGGGTTTAAGTGCAATGTTGAGACTTTGAACTCAGTCTAGGCTGGGGTACATTGGGGTACAGCTGGATTGTCGGAGGTGTCAACCTTTGGATGAGATGTTAAACCAAGGTTCCACCTGTCTGTTCATTTGAACGTTAAAGATATTATGGTAATACTTGAAAAGAGAAGAGTTTCTTCAGGTGTCCTGGCCAACAATTCCCCAGAAAAAATGGTCTTTCACTTCAGGGCTGTTTGTTGGACATGCTGTACACAAATTGGCCTATAAGTACAGTCACTACAGTTCACAGTAAAATCCTGATAGAAACTTTGAGATGTCTTGACAACATGATAAGGCACAATATCAATGCAAAGATTATTTTTAACAAGCTGGCTCATGGACACGGTCATCTCTTTGATTGCCTGCAGTTACAAATGTTGAGCATATTTAATGTTGACCGAAGGCACAGTCGAAGAGTAGGGTCTTGAGACGGGTCTTGAAGGAGGCAAAGGGAGGGACTGCAATGGAGAATATGAGAATTACCAAGAATTTTGAAGAGCACTTTAACCCTTCTTTCAATTAGCAGGTGTTTAAAATCCAGTCTTGGCATCACTGAACTACTTTTTCCTGAGTTAGAATTTTTGCTTTAGTACTACAGCAGTTTCAGGAGTAGGATTTAGACCAGAATACTTAATTTTGCGATGTTTTTGCACAATAGGGCTTGGACCTTCCGCTATGCTCCAATAAAACTTTAAAAACACTATTTATCAATCCCAATACTACCAAAAGGATAGTTTAAAGCAGTTCCTATCACTTTACAAATCTTTACAGGCTTTCACGCAATTTACGTGCTTAAGCTTTTAACAACTGGCTTAACTTCTATTTAAATGATAACAGAATAGGAACATTTATAAATCCTGACTAATTACACTAATACTGTTAGGAGCTAATATGATTAAACCAATATCTATGGAGCCACTATAAATGAGACTGGAACATTTATAGTAATATAATGGTGTTAACAATTCTAAACCCTCCGTGCCATCTGGTAAGATACGATGATAGCTTGCATTTAAATAGCACCCTTCACACAAGATAGCATCTCATGTAATCTAGTTTGGATCGGAAAATTTCAGGATAACTTCTAGCATTAAATTTATTTTTGCAAATTTAGGATTTCTTCCAATTTCATCATATTCTCTGTGTGTTACTGTTAACCATGAAATTAAATGAACCAAACAATGAGCTGTGAGAATCCAATGATATACTGTAACATACACCCTTATTGGAGAGAATAAACCCAAACAGGTCAATCAATCTTATACTGTGGCTGGGTTTACAATCCAACTGTGTGTACATAAGCACCTACATTTTATTTAGTATCTCTATCGATGCTCCATTCCTCCTTAAATCCAAGCTGACATTTAGCAAAACTCAATTAGTCAGCAGCATGCAATTCTGGGGGATTTGAAAGACAGTGCTGCTATAACTCAGTAATGGGTCAGCCTTTGTAATAAATAGGTAACTGTAAAACAGATATTTATACAGTAAACATAGATTACCTAAAAATTGCATATTCAAAGTGTTTATGAATGAGTTCAGAACTATCTGAACTCAGTGCAAGAAATGGGATATAGAAATGTATTACATCAACAAATTATTAACAAAAATGTCAAAGAAGAGGTGAGGTCAGAGTCAATATATATTTTTTCTCTGTACTGGACTCCTCCTGCATGGACTCCTAAGAGCATGACTTGAAATACATTAGAAATGCACTAACATCGAACAATTGCAGATTTGCAATAGACTTAAAATGGCTACAACTACATAGCGCTTTAATGCTTCAATGTGTGGTGCCAAGCAGTGGTGAGGCACAGATTTGTTCCTGCAATTTCTCATATAATAAGTTCTTTATCTCAAATGTGCTGTTGGAATAAAATGCAACGTGGAAACTAGGTACTTGACGTTTGGAAAAAAGCAAGCGAGAGAAAGGGGGAATGCTCCAATATATGCTCTAGCAGTTGTCTCAACAATGTATTAGCTGAAACTGAGGAAAAGTTTACTTGTTTGCACTTTTGATTGGTCCATGGCTGGGTAAATATTTTACTGGTTGAGTGAGATGAAGAAACATGGTTAGCTAATAGGGATAATAATTTCAATGGAATAAATGTACGACTTATGCACTCCACATTTCCTCCTGTTGGAAACTCACCCCAAACACCAGATTTCCCAGTTTTAACAAAAAAATTGCAAATAGGAGCATTCTGGTTTCTCTACTCACAAGACCTAGCAGAAGTCCCAACACTATTTTACAAGTATTCAGTCTACAAAGCCAATAGTTCTATCAGTAGAAAGCTGATTTCTATCCCACAGAAATTTGGTCCCTCACTTTCATTGAATTTCAGCCTGGTGACTGACTGACAAAATGTAACTGCTTGCTAGCCAGACTACTGAATTCAATTGAGTGGCAGGGTGCCCATCCTGCCATGTTGAACGCTTCATCCTGCTTGCTGATGCATAGCAGAATAGATACCCACAAATCTTGTCACTTGAACAAAGAATATAAAGGAACAAAACTGAAATATGCATGGGGGGGGATCTCAGCAGTATTTGTACTTTAGTAAGTTTTCAATCTATTTCCAGCATCTTGGGGCAGCCTCCCGACATGAAAGATGGGATATAAACACAATTTGTTGTTGTTTCACTGAGCACTAACAATAAAAAAAAACTATTGGCTCTAGAAGATGAAGATTAAACTTTGAAGGTCAAAACATCTTTCAAACAAATTGTGTAAATGTTATTTTACAAAACCAGTCTTAAACATCATGTTTTATATTTCAGGGACTTCAGTGGTTTATTCATATAATGAACACCTAAATTGAATGTGAATGAGCTCCATCACATTCAAGTTTAGTATTTGTTAAGGCTTTTGGTGCCATCTAGTGACATTTACGAGAGCTTTGCAACTGCTGCTATATCAGTTACCAATTAATTTTAAATACAATCTTGTTTATGCAAATAAAGCCTAACATGATAGCTGTTTTACAGCTTTAATCTAATGCAGCAGTGAATTCATTGCACTCAATCAGTTGTAAATATTTAAGCCTTCCGAGACGCCGCCCGACGTGAATAGTGCTATAAGTTGTTATTTTTACATGCAAGGGTGAGTTTTACTATCACTAATTTAAGATTATGCTAACCAGTGTCAAAGACAAAGCCAACCGCTATCTCTTTTACCTTGCTGTTTGAACTTGCACTTTGTCTCCCTTCTGGAAACCTGCGTGAAGAATGTACAATACCAAGACCATCCTGGGTGACCTATCACATGAAGAAACAACAGGTATGAAACAGAGGGAAAACCAGAATAATTACTGATGATTCACTGCTCTCAGATGAAGGTGCAGCAGCGCATGAGCTTTTGGAGGAGCTGCATTGATGGCCTGATTGAAATTCTCGTCTCATACATTATTCTGATAATGTCAATTTTGATGTACAGTAATTAGACATGATTGTGCACCAACGTGCTACACTACAGACACTTGTGGATTACAAACATGGTAGCTTTCTAATCTGCTTAAGCCATCAGCCAGAGATTAGTTGCTTCAGGGGGTGGGAGGCGAGAAAGAAGGCAAGTTAATCTGAGTTGCTGTCCAATATCCCCTAGTGATCAATTGCTGAGCTAGAATGGCTTACCTTGTCGTTCAAGAGAGCTAGGGATAATTTATACACACTTGTTAGAATTACTTACCACACTTCTGCACTGGATGAATAATCGTTTGTACATTCCCAGAAACTCATCAAAATCGATCACTGATGGAACAAGGAATACACAAGTTATTTTATCTTTAGGATTGTACTTCTGGAAGAAAGTTTGAACATTTTGGATTAAATGACCTAAAACACGTCATAAAGAAAACATTATATAAGGTTAGAACAAGGCAGCAGGCTAAAAAGGCAAAAAACGGTATACTCTGTTTCCAAGTCTGTTTTAGAGTGTGTAGAGGAAGAGGTGGAATATTTTCAAAATATTCAACCAAAATATTCACCGAACTCTTGATAAGGGAATAGACAGTTAATCTGCTCCGAAACTTCTTCAATATCAATTGCAGGTAAATTGCCAGGACAGTCTCCAGAATGGCCCAGGGTGACCCGTGGAGTCCTATAGCTCAGTGGTTAGAGCACTCGCCTTGCAAGCGAGAGGAATTGGGTTTGATTCCCAGGCAGGGCAAAACGTTGGGCAAATTTCTCTAATCCACACGCCTGCTTATGGCCACCACCCACACCCCTCCCAATCAGCTCGGACCGGGCTCTGCCACTGTTAAGTGCTCTGAGACGCTAACCTGCGTGGAGAGGGCTATAGAAGTGCAAAAAGTTGTTGTTGTTTAACTAGCAGTAAGTAGGAACACTACTTGTCCAAAGGGGTAATAATCTCTTAAAAAATAAGTAATAATAATTTGGTCACTCAATCGACCACTGTTTTTGGGGCACTGCTGTGTGCAATTGGCTGCTGCGTTTCTCCCAAAAAATATGGAGTAAATTCACTTTACAGTATATTCTGTGAAGCGATTTCAGAAGTCTCGAAGATGTGATAAGGCACTATATCAAATGCAAGGATTATTATCATTATTATCCAACACCCTATCTGAATTGGCTCTGAGAAAACACACCTAGTAAAGCCAGGCAGGTCCCAACCACATTACTGATGGTTGACTAGCCTGTCTGGTTCATCAAGGACACACATGCCCTATCCAAACAAGTTCTGTGATGCCACAGTCAGCATCGTGAATCCAGCATTGGATGCTTTTGTTTTTGTTTTTTGAAAAGAAAAGTCGTCCAAATTAGAACAATAGTTACCAAGTTCACTCTAACACAATAAGTATTTTGAGGTTTAGGAAGCAATGGTCACATTATCTGATGGCCATTTGGAGTGGAATGTTTTTGGCAAAGTGAGCTTGGTTCAGATATTCATTGTCGTGATTCTATACACGTGTACTTTATAATACAACTCTTTAGTAGCAAACAGGAATAAACATATTTATGCTTGCCAGACTTTTAGCAGTTGATCCTTTTCAGTTAAAATTGAAATATCCATTTGTGAGTATTCCTTGACTATTTCTTAACTACAGATTAAGTAACCCAGCCATTGGATATACAGTTTAGCAGTCACCATATTAATTATTAAACACTTCAAATATGTTAGTAAGGTAAAACGTTGTTATGGTGAATAAGTTACTGAATGCCCGGAACTTCAATAGCCTCAGTAAAAACATACATTTTATTTAATCAGTACATTAAATTAGGCACCACAGCACTTACCATTATTAAAATCTTTATCCACTGCTCTAAACTCATCATTTACATATCTTTCCAGCATATTCCTATGAACAAAGAATTTCAAATTGAGATTTTAACAACAAAGTTTGAACAAAACTGTTTATATTAGATGAAGTATCAGCCACTGACTTACTTGTGAAAATGAGGGAAGAGATCCATGAATAGCTCCCTTAGTTCATCCTTACTGATCTCACCATTCTTGTCCTAAAATCAAAGTCACTGATGCTCAACATTATATGAGACAAACATTTTCAAATGTAACCTTTAGAAACACAATACATTTCAAAGATTCGTTCATAATTATCTACAAATCCAGAGAAGCAATGGCAGCTAGACCTGGAAATTATAGGTTTTAATACAGACCATGCAACCCCATTGAAACACACTTCTTTATGGCACAAATTCAGTTATAACATGGTTGCAATGTGGACTCCATTCACTGTGAATGCACACCTTGCCTGCTTTCTTTTTATGCGCTGTCACTGTTAAACTCAGAGATGCTACCCCGTGTGAGGGGTATAAATATAAGTTTTATTGGTTTTGTTGTACCAGCCAGCGTTTGCTCTGAATGCCTGATTTCTAGGTCTTTGGATCAATGATGACGCCCCATGTGCAGGAAGTGACCTTTGCAGTAACGTGAAGTCAGCCATTTTAGCTCAGCTTTCCCACATCAAATGAATGATGAATTCCTGGTCATCAGGTTGTTGCTGACCTCACTTTCTGCTTTACACATAAAACAGGAAGGCAGATACAAGCTGATGACTCAGAAATGGTCTTTTTTAAGCACACAAACGGGCTAGTATGCCAGGTACATGTGCAGCGAAGCCAGCAATTGCGTTTCACTAAAACGCTGGTCGGAATTCTATGGACCCATCATATTATAAACAGAGCTCCACTGTGTGAAAAAAATTATCAGAGAATTTATAGCTTACCTTATCATAAAAGTCAAACTTTTTTCTGGCTTCTGCCATCTGTTTTGCTGATAATTCCTGATGAAAATCAGAAAAAAATCAGTTTTGAAGCTAAAACATGAGAAAAAGTACTGAAAGATCACAAAATTCTAAATCTATCCCATCGATCATTGTGACGGTGTTATAGGCTTTAAAAATATCAGTAAGAAGTCACCTGGAGTCAGACATTTTACATGCAAAAGTCCTCATTGTGACACAATGAAATGGGAGACACAGCACCACCATTACAACTCACGATGCACTCAGACCCAACGGCGCAAAACAGCTGTTCCACAAGTAAACATAAAACTTGGCAATAAAGGTCAACTGAGACACCAGCAATAACACATTATGTTATTGCTATTTAAGAAAGAAAGAAGTTATATATATGTATATATATATATTTAATTCACATTGGAACCAGCTAGATCAACTACAACAATCTTTTCCAATAATCTGCATTCCTATGTTCTACTGTTAAGAGGCATTCACATAATTGCCCTGTATTAGTTTTATACCAATTTTAGGTTATAACAGTGGCATTGAAATAATGCAGATCAAAGGCGAGGGATAGGAAATTAATAAAAACCTACTGAAACAGAACTAGATGTAATGATACAACTTGTTATGATCAACAAATTTATAAGAACAAATTGCATTTATACTTATAAAGCATCTTTCACATCGGCAAGACATCTCAAAAGCACTGGACAGTGAAGGGTTGCACCCAAGCTGGGGACTTGAGTCAAGAGGAGGGGAAGGGAGGTGGAGGTCATTACGTACTACATTTATACAGCGCTTTTCAAAGTGTTGCACAAAGCCAAATGGGAGCCCAAGATGGGATTGGGAGCTGAGAAAGGTGGACAGGGGAAAGGGGGGAGAGGAGAGGAAAGGTGCCAAAAAGTTTGCCAGACTGACATGATCGATTATTTAACATGAAAGAAAATTATTTTAAACTGTTACACTAGTGTACTGAAAAGCTATTTTTGTGCAACCTGAAAATATGTTGAAGGCTGAAAGTAGATGAAAGGCTAGATTGTGAAGAAGAAGCTCAAGAGACAGTGGCAAGCAATACCCATCACCGGTGCAGAGAAAGCCAGAAACCACAATTACCGTAGGAATAACACTGCGATGTTCACCCTGCAGCAAAAACAAAGGCAGATGTTCCATTACAATAAAATCTGAGAATATATATTTAAAATCAGAATGAAATTCAGTATTCAGGTTAGTGTGAGTGCAGCATATGCACAAATATCCTCTCATTCATTAAAATTATTCATTAAAGTCAGGAACACACCGTTTCCTAAAATGGCAACTTTGCTAAACAATAGTAAATTTAATTTTATATTCCATCAAGATGTGAAATGAGGAAATACACTGATCTAGTCTAGGATTGGATTGGATTAGATAGGGCAAAGGCTGCAAACAAATCAAAGTTTCCAGCGAACTACAAATCAGCAAAACAGAGGTTTTAATTCTCAGGCAAACAACAGCAAATAATCTCAAAATATGAACGTGCATTACCTTCCACTGCGTAAACTGACTTACTTCATAAAAGCTATGGTCTTTTTCTTTTTGCCGGCTTCTTCTCATCACCTCCAATAATATTGGCGCTCCCTTCATTCCTTCTGATTCATGGATCCCTAGCTCCTGAGCAACATTCTCTCGGCCTTCGAGCCCTGTGAACTAAGCACAAAATATGAAAGCTTTATAACCTGAACATGTGGAATCTATGTATCATGAGTATCAATGGCAATGACAGGAATTACAAGCAGATGACATGGTGCTGATATTCTACCTTCGGTCCCTCTAGTGGTAGAATAGTAATTCTAGTGTAACATTTCAACATGGTAGATTACTGTCTTTCCTCTTCATCTTTATTCACTACTCCATTTATATCCTGATAAGGTTTAGCAGTAATGTAAAGAGTTTGTTTGAACAATACTTACAATGTTTTGTTGCAAATAAAAGTGCAGCAAATGGATATGTGACCTCCTTAATTTTGGCATTGTTTTCAAAAAGGCAATTATGCTTTCTACTTTTTGTTCTGTCTCATACAAATAGTTCCATTTCATGCAACAGCTACGAAGCTTTAATGTGATTGAATACATGGAATTTGCTAAAATGTACTCACCTAGGATAACATTAGAATCGTTTGTGCTTTAGCAACTTGTTCATATAATAATCAATAGGAGCTGATGCTATTTTCTACACTAACTATTAACTTTAACAACAACAACAAATTACATTTGTATTGCACCTTTCACATCGGGAGGACGTCCCAAGGTGCTGGATAGTCAGGGATTTGGACCTAAACAGGGTGTTGGGATTATTGGGGGTGGAGGGCAGGGGTAGGAGTGTGGCCGAAGGCATGGTCGAAGAGGCTGAATGCACGCTCGAAGAGGAGGGTCTTGAGACTCGCCTTGAAGGAGGCAAGTGAGGGAGCAAGACGAAAGGAATGTGGGATGGAGTTCCAAAGGGTGGGGACAGACAAGCTGAAGGCCCGATCGTCGATGGTGAGGCGAGCCGGGCAGGGAACGTGGAGCAGGCCTGCTGAGCAAAGGGAGCAGACAGATCAATAGGGGTTAGCAGGTCACAGAGGTAGGAAGGCTGTGGAGGGCCTTGAAGACGAGGACAAGTATTTTTAACTCTATCCTCTGGGCGATGGGGAGTCAGTGGAGCCAGGCGAGGGTGGGGGTGGTAGGGTTGATGCAGAGAGGAGCCTGATGCAGAGAGGACACAAACTGCAGAGTTCTGGATAACCTGCAGATTGTGGAGATTGTTTCTAAAAGTAGAAACATTACATTTTATGCTTGTATCAGAGGTAAAAATGCATCTGAAGGCTGTTTCAGAAATATACTTGACAAAGCCTGAACATTCTATGTTCTTTACTTTTGGTAATTAAAAGTAAATAAATAAATATGTAAAATTAAAACTTACAGTGCTTGCTTCTGGTTGGAATACTGCCAAAGTAAAGTCCAGGTTGAAAAACTGGAGAAAGTCAGTAACAAGACTAGCCACCAACCGTCCTATGCAAGAAAGAGTCAACTTTATTTCTTATAACAATAATAATCATTGCATTTGATATAGTGCCTTATCACATCTTCGAGAAGTCTAAAAGCGCTTCACGGAATATATTGTAAAGTGAATTGACTGTATATTTTATGGGTGAAACGTGGCAGCCAATTGCACACAGCAGTGTCCCACAAACCAGTTGTGGATTTAAGTGACCAATTCTTTTTTAAGGAATTATTACCCCCGGAAAAGCAATCCTCCAATCGACTAACAACCGGGTTCCTACTTACTGCTAGGTAAACAGAGGCATGTGGAGTAAGGAAACTTGCCCAACATTTTGCCCTGGCAGGAGTTGAACCCAGGTCTCTCGCTTGCAAGGCAAGTGCTCTAACAACTGAGCTCCAGGACTCCACATAAGTCCTGCATTTCTTCCCACAACCAGTTTTCTAAGCATCTCCCTTTTTAAAAAATTACAAGATTATTTTTTTTCATTTGTATTGAAATGCTTACCATCCTTTGTGTTCAGAAACTTTTTCAAATTTTCATTAACCAAGGGGGTTTTGTTCTGCAAGAATAAAACAACAATGAATTCTCCACAGCATTAGATTTTACCCCAGGGGTAGGGGAAGAGGAGGGGGTAAGTGAGTCCCCTTAAAGATGAGCTGGACTGGCTGCAAGGTGACATGCTTGGTATGGGAATGTCAGAATGTAGTCAACTCTCAGTGGTGGTCTCGGTAGTCCAGTGCCTGAGTAAGTGGGTCTGCTGATGTCATGTGGGGGAGGGGGGGGTCTTTCTTCCCATTAAAATGTTCCTCTCCCTATTTTAGTTATTTTTTCTCACTTGTTAACTACCTCTCAGTCTCCTCTATTTGAACCTTTCCATATTTTTTCTGTCCATTCCTACCGCCAGAAGTATTTTGTGCTTCCTATTCCCTTTCAATATCTCAAGCTCACCCTTCAATGTCTAAGCACAAATGTTGCAATAAAGGAATAAATAAAGGACATATTTACTTCAAATTATACAGAGAGATGATGAAACGAAATGTAAAATAGAGGGAGGCTATTCTGATGGCAGTGTGAATAAAAGACATTTGATCTCATCCTTTAAATTTGGTTGAAGAGAAATGTTATGTTTCTCCAGCAGATACTGTAATATGCAATTATCGTTAACAATATGTTGTTCTGCTATAACCTATCCTAAGATAAGCTTCGGTTTCAAATAACAAACTACCAAATGTTTTTAAACAGGACATCCATGTTTTTTTACAGCCCTTACCTCTACTTTTTCCTGTTCTTCAAGAGCAAGGAACACTGCTGCCCGTAATTCAGCCTGAAACAAAAATCTGGTTCAATTTTGTTGTTTTTATATTTTAGCAAAATTATAAACAATGGTTAGATTTATTGCTTTTTCCATATGGCTTTGACAAATAATTTGTTCTCCTTAAACAGAAAGCTGATACATACTGTGATGATAAACTATATTAGAACTTGGGAACCGAGTTCTAGGTATTGATGTAGTTTGGGAAAAGACCCTATTGCAAAAAGTCACCGCTAATCTCTGTGTGAACTTTTCCGATTGATGTAGATGTAGAATATAAAAGTGCAACTGCAGCAGCTCTTGTGTACCTGGCATGCTTGTCTGGATTCAGCACCAGCAAATCTTTTGCTGCTACTCCACCACTAACTTCTTAAAAGCAGCTGAGCTATATCAGAACAGTGTCGGAAGATAAAGGGATAGGTGCTGACTAATGCACAAAGACAAGATAACAGCATCAACATATTTACATTTAGATAATGCCTTTTACATCGGGAGGAACTCCCCAGGTGCTTTAGAGTCCTGGTTGGGCACCCGAGCTGGGGTGGGGAACCAAGGGAAGTGTGTGTGCGTGTGTATGTATGTGCGTGTAGAGGGGGGGGAGGAGATGACCAAAGGCAAGGAGAGAGGAAGGTTTTGTTATGGACCTTGAAAAAGGCCAGGGAGGGGACCATGCAGAGGGACTCTAGGATGGGCTTCCAGAGAGTTGGTGCTGATTGGCTGAAAGCCTGGCTGCCAGCAGTGGGGCAGATGAGTGGGGTGGGATGGCATGAAGCAGGCCGGTGCCCTCTTAGTGGAAGGAGTAGCTCAGTTGGTACAGTTTGAGAGGAGATTTTAATAATAATGGGTATATATTTCACCTACAAAATATTCATTCAATTCAGTTTGCTGTTTATACTGTGAAGCATTTTGAGATGTCGTGAAGACATGATAAGGCACTATATCAAACGCAAAGATTATTATTGTAGTGTTTCAAACCATGACAAATGACATCCTCAATGCCCCAAAACAGACTTCATCTAGAGAATTAAAGCATCTCCAACATAATAATCCACCCTGTCAGATCCGAGCTTTGGTGATCAGTTTGATAAAACTCAGTTATCCTCTCAAACACAGATTTAAATAATTTCTAGGATAGTATGTGACCACATCTGGAACCATAGCCCATACTAGTGTTCTACAAGGTAATGTGTTGAAACCTCCAATAAATAAACCTCTTGTTACCTCAATCCGCAGCTGCAGAATCAACTACACAGAAATCCAAATCTGCACAATCAAAACATTGACAAGATTACTGCAACATGAAATGCTGAGAGCTTTGCCACCATCCACAGTTCGAACACACATCGCTACCCACTAAGTGATGGTTCCACCAGTTGGACACTGGCGATGAGGAAACTGCTATTTATCTTGCTACATACCAATCAAGTTGAATACCAAATCCTGGATATATGAGCTTGAGTTCACAAATCCAAGCTCAAGGTAATGCCTTCCAGCAACTGTCATCCCAAGCCTCAATTTTCTCATTAGCTAGTTGATGGACATCTGCCTTCAGCATGGTGGGAGGACCTTTACAGGACAGCTTGTAACATCCCAGCAACCTTCATGTTGTAGAAGTCTAAGTCCAACGCTATGTACCAGGCTTACTTAGCACCAACTGGTTAACCCTGGTCCGCATGTGAACATTCCTACATTGAAGCCTATTCCAGCTTCCAGGGTTCTCAGTAATAGATCAGTGTTGGCCAGATCCCTGCCCCTCTGCAGCCACTCTCTCTTTTTAACCACAAATTCCCTCACTGCTTGGTCCTGGACTCCACAAATGAGCTGAAGGAACCCCTCTGCCTTATGGCCTGGAGCTCGGAACAGTGAAGGAGAACCTTTTGCATCGTGTACTGTGGAGTGATTGCATTCGTAGCCGGACAGGGCAGCCGGTTGCGTACAGCAATGTCCCACCAGCAGCCGTGAACAAATAAAATGACCAATTTTATTTGGGGTAGAGTTGCCCGGGACACCGGGGGAAATGGCGTTCTCTTTTCGTAGAGCACCATCGGATCTTCACCTCCAGTCAAACAAGCAGACGCGGGACCTCAGGTTACACGGTCGGTGTATAAATGCAACCCCGGTACTGTTGATGGTGCACACATGCGAGTAAGGTGGGTATCTGTATTATTATTATTATTATTATTATTATGTACTATTATGATGTCTGTGAACCAGCTCTGGGGCAACGCGAAGTCAAACATACTTCAAAGTATAGGTGCGGTGCGGCGCTTTGAGGCGCGCGGGGCGACGTGGTGCGGCGCCACATCAAACGCGAGGATTATTATTAATTATTATTATTATTATAGATTATTATAATCATAACCAGTCAAAGCCGCCGCCGCCATTGACCCCGACACTGGGGGGGGTGGGGGGGGGGGTGGAGTTGTGGCCGGCGGTGGTGGTGGGGGGAGAAGAAGAAGGAGAAGCTGCCAAGTGATGCCGTGAGGTGCTGGAGGGAGGGAGGGAGGGAGGGAGGGGGAGAGGTGACCTTGATCTTGTTGAGGAGGCCGCTGCTCTCCAGGGTCTGCACCAGGAGGTCCCGCAGCTCCGTGTCCTCCTCCGCCGCCGACATCTTACCCCCCGCAGCCAGCGCTCCACCCCCGGCCGCACATTCCCCGCCTCACTGTGTGCGGGAGGGGGGAGGGGGTTAAAAAAAAATACACGCGTAATATTTCCATTCTTCTCCTATATATATATATATGTATTAAATGGGGGGAGGTGGGGGGGGGGGTGGGAGGGGCGAATCCATCGCCGCTGCGCTCCACGGCGTCAGTGTCGAAACGTGAAGCGGGAGCAGAGCGCTAGCCGGGCCGCCCAGCAACGGCAGTCGTCCGTTTGAAGCCCCAACGCTCATCAAAATAGTAGCCCCAAAAGTAGCCCAATGCGACAGCGTGAGCAGCAGCCGAGCGGCGGGTCAGGACCTGTGTCAGAAAAGGGGGGGGGAACGTTTCGCAAGTTTAAGTTAAACATTTTCAAATTATTATTATTCGTTAAAAATTAGACGCCCAAACGGTCCAAAGTCGCACCGCTGAGCGAAAAACCCGCCCGATTGGGCGTGACGTGCTATTTGTTGGTACGGGCTCCCGCGGTGACGGTGCGTGGTGGCGGCAGTGCGCGCGGACCAACTGTCCGGAGTCTTCGTGCCCCGACCCCATACACACATACACACACACACACACACAGGGCAGCCTGGTTCCTCCACAGGAGCACAGTCACTACACATCCTTTGGTGCCCATCACTGAGCAAACGAGTTTCACCTCTACTCTATTATTATTAATAATCATCATTATTAATGATAATCGTTATTATTAATTTTTATTAATTATTATTAATTATTATCATTAGTTATTATTATCATTAGTTATTATTGTTAATCATTATTATTGATGTTATAATTATTATTGTTATTATTAATATTACAATTATTGTTATTGTTAATATTATTGTCAACGTTATTAATATTATTAATATTAATACTTATTATGATTAATTAATAATATTAATAATAATAATAATAAAAACAACGCAAAATACTGCAGATGCTGGAAATCTGAAAACAGAAGTCGCTGGGAACACTCAGCAGCATCTACCGGGGAAAGGAAAGTGAATGGACGTTTCGGGTCCACGACCCTTCGTAAGAACTGCAAATAATCCTTGCATTGGATGCAGCGCCTGATCACACATTCGGGACGTCTCAAAGCACTTCACAGAATAGACTCGAAAGTGAATTAATAATAATAATCCTTGGATTTGATATAGTATTTGATTAACCGCTGAAAAGCGATCCGCCAGTCGACTAACAACCAGGTTCCTACTTACTGCTAGGTAAACCGAGGCCAGTGGAGTAAGGAAGCTTGCCCAACACTTCACCCTGCCGGGAATAGAACCCAGGTCTCCCGCTTGTGAGGTGAGTGCTCTAACCTCTGAGCTACAGGACTCTGCTGTAATTAGAGAATTGACTGTAATTTGGGGAGCTAAATATTCACAGACTTATCACAACTTATTTAATTGTTAGATAGAGGTAAAATAGTGGGTAGAATAGGTAAGCACATTGTCCTACATCTCAGATCTGATCAGAGTGTAATGTCGTAATTTCTTTCATACCTTACAAGCCATTAAGGATACAGTACTTGCAACAGGAATGAGAAATGAGAAGGTACAGGGATTATATCACAAGGCAAACAAAGGAAGAATGGGTCATGGTAATTCTCATAATAATTACACCTCCCCCAGTGGTTTATTAGTTAGACCACATTTCAGTATTATTTCATCATCTCTGTATACTTTGAAGTAAATATGTCCCTTATTTATTCCTTTATCCACAACTGTTTGGGGGACTCTGCTGTGGTAATTGGCTTCTGCGTTTCGTCCACAAAACATACAGTCAATTTGTGGAGTCCAATGCTCAGTGGTTAGAGCACTCGCCTCGCAAGTGAGAGACCTGGGTTTGATTGCTGGCAAGGCAAAACATTGGCAAGTTTCCTCACTCCTCATGTGTTTACCTAGCAGTAAATAGGAACCCGCTTGTTAGTCGATCGGCGGATCGCTTTTCAGGTAGTATTAATTCCTTCAAAAATATAATGAAGTGGTCACTCAATCCACGACTGTTTGTGGGACACTGCTGAGCGCAGTCGGCTGCAGTGTTCCACCCACAAAATATATAGTCAATTCACTTTACAGTATATTCTGTGAAGCGCTTTGAGACATCTAGAAGACGAGATAAGGCACTATATCAAATGCAAGGATTATTATTATTATAGCTATAGCAGTCTCAGAAGTAACTCATAGCTCTGCAGAATTCTCTGCATTTGTATAGGTTTTTCAGATTTGTTAATATAGGTTGCTAGGCAATAGGCATCAACAGTTTGCATATGGTTGGCATTAAACAAGTGCAAATTATTGTCTGTTGCAGTGTAGAGACCAGAATTGCAGATATAAAGAATAATGGCCAAATGTTTCTTTTTAACTTGCAATTCCATTGGTACCTTTCAACTTTTCACACAGAATAACAAAGTACTTGATAGGTTTAAATGAAAACACTGAACAGCGAAATGTTAACGAGATTGATCAAAAGCATTGCAGATGTTTTAAGGGGCTTTTGAAAGTTGAGAGAAAGGAAGCAAGGCAAAAGGATTGTTTTATCTATAATTCATCTATGAGGAGCTATAGAAATTGCACATGTTCTTCAGCAGTGTCGAAATGGTCGAGAATAAAATAATGCTTACATTTGGTACACTTCAGGTCATCCCAAAGCACTTCACAGGATATATTATAAAGTTGAGATGGACATGACAATATTGGAATGAAGTCAGACTAGATGATTCGTTAGAATGGTATAGTTGAAACCCTCCAAGACATTCAAGGTGTAATATAAATGTGTGCATGTGTATCAAGTGTCAGTTTAGCTCACTCTTGACTCTGGGTCAGAAGGTTATGGGTTCAAGCTCAAGTCCTACTTGGGAACTTTGAGCTCATTGTATTAGTGTCAGGGATTATTACATAAATGCAATTTAAGATTACAAATAATTGGGAATATTTTCAATTTCTTTTAGTATTGCATTTTCATATGGTTGAAAGGCAGCATCGGCCTTGAAGTTACTCTTACCACTCCACCTCTCAACAAAAAGCAAGTTTTGTAAAAAAAAAAGGACTTGACACTCCTGTAACTGAAGGAGCAGCTTGATTGTATGTACTAAAACGATACACTGTTTACAAACTATTCCTTACTGCACTTTCTTCAACCCATAGATTTCGTTCAAATTGACATCATCAAGTTGATGATCGTCAGTCAATGTAAAGCACAATTGTAAACTGTAAAATGGGTAAGATAATTTGATTTGCCTTGAGATAAGGCAGTATACGTATGACATACTGCTCCAATTAATGAAACCTGTTCAAACAGCAGACAGGAAAGGGCCATGGCTCAAATTCCACTTTAAATACTTAGGATTCAGAGTATGATCTTCCGCATGGTATTTGAATCCTTTCTTGAACAGACATTTCAGAAAGCATTAACCTACAATTTAATTTATCCTACCTTGGCTTCATCTACAGATATTTCCATTTCAATAAATTGACAAAATAAATGTTTGCTTAATCCACGATGGGTATGAAATTTATAACCTGCAAATTCGTAAGTATAGTTTCTCTTTAAAATACAAATTGTCCAGGATGTCGATGAGTTTTTGTAGTATCCTTACTGAAAGAGGGCTGGTATACAAAGTACCTCTCTGAACTAATTTTTTCTAGGGCTTCCCAAATGGGCACTGTAGGAAAGTATTTGATTTCTGGACTATATTTTGTAATAAGCAAAACAATAATCATATGAACATGACATGCATAGGCTGTGGAACTACTGTATTTAATAATAATATAATAATCCTTGCATTTAATATAGGGCTTTTCGCGTGTTCTAGATGTCTCAAAGCGCTTCACGGAATATACTGTAAAGTGACTGACTGTATTTGTGAGCGAAACTCGGCAGCCAATTGCGCACAAGAGTGTCCCACAAACAGTCGTGGATTGAAAATGACCAATTTATTATTGTTTTTTCTTTTGGAGGGATTATTATTTTATTATTGTTTTGTATTTTGAGAGATTATTATCAATTGTGTGGAGCAAGGAAACTTGCCAAAGATTTCGCCCTGCTAGGAACTGAACTCAGGTCTCTCATTTGTGAGGTGAGTGCTCTAACCATTGAGCTACAGGCCTTAATGATACATTTGCTTTAAAAAGTACATGGAAATGGACAGGACTGGAGATCACTGTGGCTTAAGTGAGTTCCAAAAATAAAAACTCACTCTTGAATATAGGGTAAGCCAGTTAATGTGTTTTTACTTAGTTGGGTAAAACTATTATATGATCACTGTCATATACTGACAACTCAAACACGAACCTTTCTAAATACCCGTGAACTCTTTTGTTCAAACGAGTTAAACCAAATTCATAATCCAGTCAAAAAAGCTTTTGTGTGCAATATCCTACAAAGAATCCTCTGTAATAAAGAATGAGATAATATATCACCTGCAAAGATCTTTAATTGAACTAGCAAGAAAACATTGCACAGCTTTGCCATGCTTTGAAAACAGAATTGAACAGACAGGTCGACAAGTGTACTCTCAAGTTATATCAAACCTGATTCAACATTGGAATAAGCAGATTAATGCACCCGTCTTCAAAAGTTTCAAATACATTTGAATTACATTCATATTCCACGTGCTTTTCTCAACAGTAGCTAGTGCAATACACTGACGACCCTGTGGCATGGCTAATTTGTGCTGCAGTTTGTTTTCATGTTTCAGTCTCACAACAGAAACCAAGAATTACTCTGTTATTAATTATTCGATATCAGAAGCAAATTGTAGAAATGCCTTGCCTACACACAAAATCCTCTGCACTAAGCACAAACACCGAGCTGCTTACAGCCAGACGTCCATTATCAAAACATTAATATGATCACTCAGCAAACCAAGAAAAATAAATTACAGCTGACAAGACTTACAATTGACGACTAAACAATTTATTTCAGGTTCTCCGCCTTCCCCGACACACAAACAAAAACACTTCCATTGCTTTGTAACAGATATTGGAGAAGTTAAATAAGGGAATAGTTTAACCATATATTGCAATAGCTGCAACTAAATACACAGACACATTTCAACAGCTTTAATACTCTGCTCTAACATGCATGATGGTTATCCCCTTTTGGATCGATTTTTGGCTGGCTCGCTGAAGTGCATTACTGTCCACTCAGTAAATACCCCCAAACTATGCTTTCATCCAAGTAATACACTTTTTGAAGCAAATCATATATTTGATTAGTTTTTAAGTAGCAGAGGTATGTATATCTTGGGTAATACTCAAAACATTGTAATGTAATTTGCCAATATTAAACTAATCATGTTATGTCAAATCTTAATCGCCAATAGATACTTATTTCTGTATATGCAACATATTGATATAGGCTATTATGGAAAGAAAACAATTGTGGCACACATTCATACACAGGGTCGGAAAATACATTTCTGGCATTTAAAAAGAGCCTATCAATTATGCATATTTGTTAGGGATGCAAGCATTGTTCAGCACGAACCACAGGTGAAGTACTTACACACGCACAGAAAATAATGTATGGATCTAGCTAAACTTGTACAGTGCGAGAAGATTCGGATTTGGTGGGCACGAAAAGTTGTATTCATTTTATATTGTGTTGATGAGAAATATTAAAAGCAATTTATACCTCAAAGAAATATTAACATCCATATGCCCAGAATTTAAAATCTTCAACCATAAGTGGGTTGTAAAAAGTAAACAAGCTTTCCTTCACCATACTGCTTGACTTGCAATTCAAAGATTCTTAGCACATTCGAGACCTACATTAGACACTAAAGACCATCAAATCTCACTTCCTGTACAATAATTGAAGCCATTGGCTAAGCTTTCTAAAAGCTTCATCATATATATGAGCCTTTGTTGACAGATACACATGCAGTTAGTCTCATTTCAAAGCTGTCTGCCATTAATTAGGAATGTCGGCACTGGTACTGCGGTTCCCATATTTGTTGTGGATGATCAATAGTACGATTCCCAGAAGAAAGCAGATGGAGCCAACAGTGATGTAAGCGATTCCCAAGAATGGATTCTTTCCCCCCATCCAAGAGATGGTACTCAGGATCATACGTTTCCGGCCTTCAAAGACATGCACTGGATAATCTGAACACAGTATAGGAACAACGTAGACTATTTTGATGCATTTAACATTGTGTTTAAACTTGGAGTATGTTTTAGAACACATCATTTGAGTTAATTTCAAGAGTATATCTTCAATACGGCTACTGAAACCAACTTTATATTGAATCGACTTCCAAGCAACTGAAATTTTGAAAAGGGACAGATATCTAAAATTACATTGTGCATCATTTCTATGCTGAGTATGGGCAGATAACCTCCACCCAAAATCAGTCATGCTACTCCATAAAAGAGCAGATGATACAAACCAATGCCATAACAGATGAATTGCCAGATCTTCTAACCCTGCACACACACATCTGACTTTTGCTTGAATGTAACTGTGCTGTGAAAATTCTGACTCAATAATTATCGATAGTGATAATTATTACACTATGGCAAATCGCTGCAAAATCAATATCTGCAAATTGGTTTGGCCTGGTGCAACACAGTGGGTAGATCTCAACAGGGTAGAATGTCCTGTGATAATTATTTCAATGTTCAACCACAGTCATTCTAACATGCAGATTGCATTTCAGAAAACGGCAAGACATGTTTCAGTTCCATCCTGGATTCCATGTTATATATTTTAATACCCTGGATCTATGCAAAATTTCAACACGCTTCCTTAGAACATAGTTGAGTTTCAGGCCAAATTTCTCAGAAAGGGGAGGTATGAGTTATGTCATGTGCAAGCCCACCTTGTATGAAAAAGAAACAGGTTAAATTCCTGTTAGTCAATATTTCTCTACTAGGATCACCCTTTCCATTAGGGCTTTGGTTTGGAGGGTTAACAGGAGCTGAGTAGGAAGATTCGCTATCCAGTGACCCAGGGTACTGCCCCTGCAAATCTTGCTGATGAACTGACATCAGCAGTCCCCTGGAGTACTGCTGAGCATGCCTGGCTCAGGGCTACCGAGACCATCACAGATAACTGACTTAATTCTGACATTCTATTGCCAAGTATGTTACCTTGGAGCCAGCTCAGATCCCACTTACCTCAATTCAAGTAGTCACTAGTGAGCCAGCCTCGCTCAGGAAGCATACTGAAAAGGCAGATTCCAATATTGCATTGCCAAGGCACATCACCTTGTAACCAGTTCAGCCCCAAAGAGATCCGGTTTACCCCTGTCCTCCCTCGTCCTCCCCCCCCAGGATACTATAATATTATAATAATCCTTGTATTTGATATAGCTATTTAGAGTTGACATATAATGAAGGATACTGTAGGCAACTTCTAAAGTATAATTTCCAGGCTTCAGTGTAGGAGTCATGGAGGTATTCTTCTTGATAAGTCTGTACAGTTTGCGAAATGTAGGTAGGGCTGCAGTACGCATCCAGACAATGAAATCTTCATTGATGAATCCATTGTTCATCGGATCATTTGGATCGAGTTCATACACTGGCTTAGGCCAGTTCAGAGGTTTTGAAGTATCTGCAATGCATTAAAAAAAATTGTATGTGAACATTTACTTATTCTTAATATTGTGTAGGTTTAGAACAGAAGCAAAATTATTTACATGGAAAGCTAATCTATGCTTCTGATAAAATAAGATAAAATGAATAGGTCTTGTTGTTCCAACGTGTTACATAATCTGAAATTCACCAATTAGATTAACTTAACCACTATGGAAATGAGAGAAAAGCAGACGGAATGTATAAAACAGTAAGTTTAACACCTCACGATCATGAATTTGAGATTACAAACAGGCATGAATGAAGGCCTTTTGAGACATTCAAAAATCAGTCTCCCAGATTACTTCTTCCAATTGCTGCATCAAATTGTTTCTTAACCATTCTTCCTAGTAACCAGTTCCAGGCAATGATTATCCTCTGCATAAATACAGTTGAGGCTGATGAACATAGGCTGCATCAAGGACAATGTGCAACCACATGGTTCGTATTCTGGAAGATGAAATCAAATAGACTGAAAAGTCTTCTTCAACCAAATCACCTGAACTCAATTTACAAAAAATTTATGCTGAATTGCAACATGAAATTGAATGAATGTAATTTAATTGAAAAGTGTTTTAATATAATGTTGAGAGGTAGGAGAGGTAGGTAATAATGTTGAAAATTAATGTATTGGCATATTCAGCGAAGCATTGTGTAATTAAAGTTAGTTACTAACTTGGCAGAAGAAACTTTCCTTTGCTGTGCAGAATATGCAAAAAAACTTCCATCATGTCAACACTGAAGTTGTTAATTTACCTTTAAAGACTATGGATAAATTCTGATTGCCAGGCGGATTCCTGAACTTCACATTCTTGTCTGTCCACCATGCAATACCTTTCTTGGTTAAAGTAATTTCCATCTTGGTGCCATTATCATTGTAATACAGTTTCAAAGTATCTGATGAAAAAAAATAAAAATCACTAAAAGGAAACACAGAAATATTGCAAAAATAAGCCTTTTACAATGCAGTGCAAACAGACTGAGCTTTGATAATTGAACTCGGCAGTTTTATTTTACGATTTATTGGGGTCAGCCGGAGAGTCTGACACATGCAGAAACCCATCACTGTGCTTAAGAGTATCCAAACCAAACTGAGAATTTCATGGATCCCACCTACACATGAAAATTTAGAGATAGACTGTTGGAATGGAATGCCGCTATCTCCCTGGAAGGACGCATTCTGCTTACTTAATCCCGGAAAGCATTAGGCGCAGGTTGGCAAGAGCCAAGACTTGCGAACCTCAGAGTGTGCATTGGGGTACTAACCAGCTAAAACCATACAGTTTCACATTGAAAGCACTGTCTGACAAGCTTACCTGCTGCAAAATCAATAGCAAATATCAAAGGCCCCAAATTCAACCAGCCTTAAAAACAATGTATTAAAATGTAAGACTGCAGAATTTGGGAAAATTTGTCAATTTTAAGGTTATGATCAGGTCAGGTTAAGAATTGGGGGCCTCAGGAAATTCTCTGAAGACCAAATGGTGCCTGCCGTAGTGTGAACGCTGCTTCAACAACAACAATTTGCATTAATATAGCGCCCCTCATTCAGGGTAGCATCCCAGAGAACTTGACAGTGGCACAGCACAACCCCAAGCCCGACAGAGGGGGAGGTGACCCTAGGCAAGGAAGGTCTTCAGGTGCGACCAGAAGATGGGGAAGGAAGGGGCAAGACAGAGGGATAGAGGAAGGGTGTTCCATAGTTTCAGGGCGTAATGGCTGAAAGTGTGGCCACCAATGGTGGAACGGAGAGCACAAGGGACATGCAGAAGGATGGAGCTAATCGAGCGGAGGCAACAGGTAGCGAGTGGGTTGGGGGGTAAGCAGGTAGGAGAGGTAGGGCGTGCTAGGGCTTCAACAAGGAGTCTGTAGAAACAAACACGTTCCATGAACACAAGCAGTGCACTCTATTTATGGTCAACTTGGAAATCTGAAAGTGCTGCAGTTCATCCAGAATAGTTTTATAGACAGCATCTGGTGCAGTTAGTTTTTACATACCGTTAAACAAACTGTTTGCAATGGCCCCACAAGGGGCAATGGGCTTGTTATTGGAAGTACGGTATGGTTCACATTCCTTGCTGGGATTCTAAGGGAGCAAAAGAATCATGAATTACAGGATTGTAGATATTATAACGCGACACAATGAACAATAACACAATATTTACTAAGGCAGTTGGGTGGAAGGAACAGTGAGACATTAAGGAATTCACCAATAGCAAATCAGAACAATAATGAATCCTGCCAGTAACTAGCAATGCATTAGGACAATTTGGAGGGAGTCGTCACAGACAACTTTGATCATAAAACTACTGAACCTACAAGAATAATTAGATAATATTCTTTCTTGCAATCATTCAAAAGTATTCATTATTCTTTACTTAACATGCATTCTGTGCTGCACGTTCAACACGTAGGCCTGTAAGTAGACATTTTGTGGCGCAAACAAGTTCCTTCTTTTACTCAATATTCCCTTTGTGCCTTCGGGACAATTACTGTCACCATTTGTACGAAGTTGTTCACCGAGTAAAATGTATAATATATTAAAAAAAGCTGCAAGTAAACAAATGGCTTCTAAAACTAGTTTCCCACATTTAAAGTTTCTTCTGCCAAGTTAGTAGCTAACTTTAATTACACAATGCTCTTTGCTTGACTTTGCTTACCTGTAAAGAGAGTGCATCGCCGTTAAGCTGGCTGTCATCTCTAGATTTGACATATCGACGATGGTTTTGGTAAAAATGCGATAATCCATAATACATGAACACATTTCCCTACAAGAAATGAAAAATCAGAATGAGATTTTTTAAAAGATTACGTGTAATATCAAATGGGTTTTCTAATGCAGTTATTGATTAACCTGTCTTGATTTTTTGTGGTTGTGGTGAATTAGGAACTACAGTACAGTATCCTCTTTATGGGAAGAGGAACTCATCTAGTATGGCTCAAGTCTAATCTATTATTTTGCCACTTAAAATAATCTTTGGGAGTCACTCAATGAAGTCACTACCAACAGGTAGCTGAGCCACACAAACCCATAACTGCCTGGTACTGGTAGTAGCAAGGCAGGAAAATGAATGCTACTATTGGCCTCACTACCTTGAGTTAGGGATAAGAAATCTGATCTATATCCAAATACCACCTTTGGAAAGCGAACATGTGTGTAAGAGTCAAGTAAGAGCAAGACTCAATGGTATGTTTACCATTTACCACTTGAACCAGTGGGGAGGGGGGTGTAAGGAGAAGCAGACATGATGTTCAATTTTAAAATAAATTATTTAAACTATATTGAATGAGGTTTTATATTTCCGGTTTATGCTCTTGGACCTTTCTGATACTGAAAAGGGCAGAAATATTGCAGCATAAAGACCTCATAAGGATGCTTCAATTTATTTGACCGTTTAAATTAGCTTTGAAGATGTTTCAATATTTTTGCATATTGTAAACCTGATCAATTTACTAAGTGTCAATAAAGTTTACACTGAAAGGATAAATTCATACCTCAAAGGGCTGATCCAAATTAAAATGAAGTGTACAGGTACAACTTGTGTTCCATGAGGCATTTCTAGTACAATGGTAACAAGGTTCTTCTGGAGTCGTGCCAGTATAATCAATCTGGAAAAACAAAATTTAATGTAAAGAAAGCAATACTGCATTACATAGCAATGAACTTTATAAACTTTATGAACATCCATCAGAGAATGACTAGAAATTCTAAAATGATTTACAAGATGGTCAGCTTTGTGTAACAGGTCACAAAAATACAGAAGCCTGACAAAACATTTCTAAAGCACAAAATTTGTTTCTGAGAGTTGGAGGAAAGCTCCATAACTACTCAGAATGGTATTACACACAACTCACAAAAATATCTATTGGAAACGTAAAGAATTCTTCACTTTTCCAGACAACAGAAAACAGATATAAAACAACATATTCTGTAACACTGCTGGATATCTTTTTGTGTTTAATAAACACTGGTACGTTTTTTGCATTTCAATGTCACTTTCTTGAAACTCATTCACGAAGATCATTAAAGCTCTTACTATTAAACTTTCAACATCTGTAATGATTACGATGAATAGCTACTGATGTTTTGGATCTGAAAAAAAGCCTCCCTATAAACATTTATTATTCATACGATTAAAACATGGCCTCAGTCACTGACAGAAAAAACTACCGTTCCTGCTTCGGATTACCCTCCAGTTAAACCTACAGAAAATTGCAAGTCGGAATACACTAGGTAAATGCAGTTCCTTACTGGATTCAGGCGTGGTTGCTAGTAATATATAAAAACATACTGTATCCAAATTTATTGTGGTTCAAATCTTGAACTGGGGATCAAAGAAACCGCACATTTCCAGAAGAAGGGAGGCGATTGTTTATTTTCACGTCACTCAGTGGTCTGAAAGCCAATTCATCCTTTCCAATGGACAATAATAATAATAATTCTTGATTTTGTTATAATACTAGCGCCTTATCACATAATGAAGACATCTCAAAGAGCTTCACAGAATATACTGTAAAGTGAATTGACTGTATATTTTGGGGGCAAAACACGGCAGCCAATTGCGCACAGCAGTGTCCCACAAACGGTCAGTCAGGTGACTTGTAGCAGCTGCTTATGTGTTTCAGTCATATTTTCCACAACATAACCTCCATTGTTAGTGGCTGAAAGCTTTATTTAAGGTAGTGGATTAGAAAAATCACAGGTTTACAAATAGGAGGCCCAGATCACTCCCACTGAACAGCATTTCTATGAATTTTTTGTACACAAACACTTCCTTTCCCACAAGCATTTCCATGACTTAATTTATGTAGTACATTTGCAACAGTGCTCCAGAGATTAATCAGCAGCATCAACAATCTTTTTTAATGAATTATTAAAAAGGGTTGTGCAGCAGTTGGATAAATGGTCTTATACCTCGGATTCTTTTATTCACAAAGCATACCTTTTAATATTTTTGTTGTCAGTCTTTTCTGACAAAAAAAAACCCTGTTGCAAAACTTAACAGTATCCAAACCAGATAGAGCTCCACACAGGCAAACCACCTATCCATTGAAATTTCTCATTGTCATTGTTTAGAATAGAGAGCGCACTCTTTCCCAGTGGGATGCACCCTTCTTCCCTTATTTCAAAAAGGTATTAGGCATTGGTTGACAAAAAGCTTGGAGATACCAGAGTGAGCGTGTGCTGGAGTTTAACCAGCTAAAAACACTTACTGTTGTGAACACTGTCTATCAAGCTTCCCATTGCTCATCCAGCTAGCTAGGATCACCCTATCTGTTAGGGCTATGGTTGTTTTTCAAACTTGCATTCGCCACATGATCCATATCAGAACAAACAAAGTGTTGCAATTGTGTTGAACTTAAATTCAAACTGGTATGCGCAAGAATTCATCTAGATGCATTCACGCGACGAATTGTTGCTGAAAGTTATGAAAAACTGGCTAATTCAACATGTCAAGATTTCCAACAAACACATTTAAAGTTAGTGATCATAATATTATCATAAAGACATGAAACACACTGCATCAAATTTGATTAGTTATTATTAGTGTTTGTGTATTGATGCAGTTTAAGTCACTGAAACCTCATAAGGTTTGCCATTGGGAGCAAATCTTGTCTGCTTCATTTTCACACCTGTTCCATTTCACCTTCGGCAGGTGAACTTTCAGCCACTTTGCCCCTCTCTGGAACTCTCTTTCAAAATCCCTCGGCCGCACTTTCCAAACCCCCTTTGGTTACACGTTCAATCCCCCCCCCCCACCCATCATGCCTCCCTCCTATTGTTATATAAACAAGCACTGGGGGGGGGGGGGGTAAAGAAGAGAGGGCTCCCCAGTGCCAACTCAAGAACAAGCAGAGGGCAATCTATCTGTATGTAGGGTTCTCTGCTGTTTCATGGCATGAGCCTGAATTACATACTCTCAGAGTAAATTCATTTCAAGAATTATTTTCCCAGCTCATCGACACTAAGACTCTCTTGGGAGAGGCTTACTCTGGCCCGTCGAATCCCACCAGTCAATCTCGCGGTTAACACCCCTTCCATTCCTTCGTCAAAACAATTATACACCATCTTGTGTTTAGCACAGTTAACACTGCAGATATGAAACCACAAGTGCATACAAGTGCAGTGAACTCGCCGCCGTGCAGAAACAACTCAATGCAAAACACAGTGAGGCCAGCACCCCGACGGTGGTGCGGGGGGCAAGAAGGGGAGAGGTAAACAATCGGGTGTCCCAAGTGCAGTGGATTAAGATTTCCTCTTCCCCAGTACATGGCATCTGCAGGTTCTGCCTCCGGGTTGGCACCTGTCAGACTGCCACCCCCTCCCCCCCTCCCCGCCTTAAACTCACGGCGGAACTCAAAATATACAGTTATAACCCACTTTACAGTACTTCCTGTGAAATGCTTCGAGACGTCTCGACACTGTGATAAGGCGCCAACTATATCAAAGGCAAGGATTGATTATTGTTATTTATTATAACTGTAGACAACGAATTCCCCCTCTCCCCCCTCCCCCCCCACATACACACACACACTCCTCCTCAGCAACTGCCAGGACCGAGCTGAGCCTGCGGGCGGGTGTCGGGGTAACTGTGCAAACAGTGGGTTCAGACCTCCCTCCCTCCCTCCTCCACGGCCTCGCTTCTCACCAAAGGCCGTCTCCAGGCACCCGGGGCTCGGTGCTGGGAATGCAGGACGAGCCCGGGCCTGCCGCTAAGTGTCAGGAACAACCGCACGGCGGACGGTCGGACATTTCCTCTCCCGGCCCCGGGGAGGAGCCGCTCACCTCAAACTCCCTGATGTTGTTGGAGGTGACGAAGAGGCCGATGCCGATGGGGATGAAGACTAGGCCGATGATGAAGAAGGCGGGCAGCACGGTGCCGGCGGTGAGGATGGGCTGCCAGGCGGGCAGGCGCTGCTGCTTGAAGGCCGTGTTGTCCGGCTTCTTGCTCCGGTGCTGCGTGTCGTCGTCCTTGGCCGAGTAATTGGTCGCCATTTCGGGAGGAGGAGGGGAGGAGCAGGGCGGCCGCTCGCTCGCTCGCTCGACTTCCTCTGCTGACACAAGCCGAGCTCCGAGAAGACAGTGACCGCCCTCACTCACTCACACACACAGAGAGGAGGCCGGGGCTCCCCTGCTCGCCCTGGCCCCGGGGCCTCTCACTCTGTCACTCCTCTCCCTCTCTCACCGCCGCCCACAGAACCCCCCGGAGCCGCTCGCGGTTGTCAGGCAGTTCAACGGACAAACCGACAACCGGCGCGCGGGCGCGCGCGCATCCCCTCACGTCATGACGCATGCGATGCTTGCGCGGTGACGTCACGCGCTACCGTTCAGGTCCATCCTCACTAATACTGTACCCCCCCCCCCCCTGGACTTTCATCATATAATAATCATCATCATCACACCATCATCATCATCACACCATCATCCCAAACTCGGCCACTCGTGTACTCTCGCGCACCAGGGGCTCCGTGACCCCATCACCCCCACCCTCGCCCGACTCCACTGGCTCCCCATCCCCCAGAGGACCGAGTTCAAGGTCCTCGTCCTTACCTTTAAGGCCACCCATGGCCTTGCCCCCTCCTACTTCTCTGACCTGTTGACTCCCTACCAACCTGCCCGCTCCCTCCGTTCAGCGGCTTCCGCCTGCTCCATGTCTCCCGCCCGACCTGCCCTACCATCGGTGGCCGGGCTTTCAACCTCTCTGCCCCCACACTCTGGAACTCCATCCCACGGTCTCTTCACCTCACTTCCTCCCTTGCCTCCTTCAAGGCCGGTCTCAAGACCCTTCTCTTCCATCGTGCCTCCGATCACACTCCCACCTCTCTGTCTTCCCTCACCCTTACACCACCCCTCCCCCATGCTCGGGTCCTGACACCTGACTGTGCAGCGCTTTGGGAAGTCCTCCCGACGTGAAAGGCGCTCTATAAGGATCACACTCCCACCTCTCCTCAAAGCGCATCATACTGTAAAGTGAATTGTCTGTACTCACACTCGTGTTCAGATCCCTTCACTCCCTGGCACCTCCCTATCTCTCCGACCTCCTCACTCCCCAGTCCACCACCCGGCGCCTCCGCTCAACTGGCACCGGCCTCCTGCTCGTCCCTCGCACTCTCCGTCCCACCACTATGCCTCTAAACTGTGGAACACTCTCCCTCAATTCCCCCACCTTGTCCCCTTATTCAAGTCCAACCTGAAAACCTTCCTCTTTGGCAGTGCAAACAGCCGGCTCTTACAAGCACCCCTCCCCCCGCCCAACCACCCCAGCTCAGAGTCATGCTCTGCCACTGTTAAGTGCTCTGAGACACTACTCTAAGTGGAGGGCGCTATATAAGTGTATATTTTGTGGGAGAAACGCCGCAGCCAATTGTGCACAGCAGTGTCCCACAAACAGTCATGGATTGAAGTGACCAATTTATTATTAATAGTTTAATAATATGGTAATATTGATAATAATCCTTGCATTTGGTGTTGCACCTTATCACGTCAGACGATCGACTGAAAGCACTTTGCAGGATTTACTGTGGTATGGAGTGATTATGCGTTTGTAGCCGAACGAGGCAGTGCAATTTCCAGTCACAATGACCTGAACTTGGGTATAGGGAGTATAATTTCCAAGTTTACAGATGATACAAAGCTAGCAAAAGTAGTAAACGGTGAGAAGAATAGTAGCAGATTGTAGGAAGAAGTAGACAGACTGGTGAAATGGGCAGACATGTGGTGGATTAAATTTAATACAGATAAATGTGAAGTGATGCATTTTGGAAGCAAGAATGAAGAGAGGCACTATAAGCTAGAAGGTACAATCTTAAAGGGGGTGAAGGAACAGGGAGACCTGGGGGTTCATATAAGCAAATCTTTGAAGGTGGCAGGACAGGTGGATAAAGCTGTTAAAGCATGCAGGATCCTAGTTTTATAAATAGGGGCATAGAATACAAAAGTAAGGAGGTATGATGAACCTTTATAAAACACTGGTTAAGCCTCAGCTAGGGTACTGTGTTCAGTTCTGAGAACCACACTTTAGGAAGGATGTCAATGCCTTGAAGAAGGTGCAAAGGAGATTTATCAGAATTGTTCCAGGAATGAGGGACTTGAGTTATGTGGGGAGACTAGAAGTTGGGACTGTTCTCCTTGGAGCAGAGAAGGTTATGGGGAGATTTTAATAGTTGTCCAAAATTATGAAGGGGTTCGATAAGAGTGAATAGGGAGAAAATGTTTCCACTGGCAGGTGGGTCGGTAACCAGAGGACACAAATTTAAAATAGTTGTCAAAAGAACCAGAGGAGATGAGGAGAATTTTTTTCACACAGCAAGTTGCTTAGATCTGGAATGCATTGCCTCTCGAAATCCATCCCACAGTCTCTCCACCACGCCCCCCTCCCTTGCCTCCTTCAAGATCCGTCTCAAGACCCTTTTCTTTGACTGTGCCTTCGGTCACCCTTGGGTTTGAAACATTGTCCAGCACCTTGGGACGTCCTTCCAATGTGAAAGGTGCTATACAAATGTAATTTTGTTGTTGCCTGAAAGGGTGGTGGAAGCAGTTTCAATAACAACTTTCAAGAGAGAAGTGGATAGATTTTTGTGGAGGACAAATTTGCAGGGATAGGGGAGAGAGCAGGGAAGTGGGATTAATTTGGATAGCTCTTTCAAAGCTGACACGGGCACAATGGGCCGCACGGCCTCCTTCTGTGCTGTATAATTCTATGATTCTAATTGCTCACAGCAAGGTCCTACAAAAAGCCATGGAGTGAGTGATCAATTTTATTTGGGGGATTGTTGGGTAGGACACTCTTCTCTTTTTGAATAGTGCCATGAGATCTTTACTGTCCACCTAAACAGGCAGACAGGGCCTCGGTTTAACATCCCATCCAAAGGACTGCACCTCCAACAGTACGACCCCCCCCCCCCCAACAATACAACACACACCCACAACACTGCATTAGACTATGAGTTCCCAACAAGGACATGAACCCACAACCTTATGACTAAGAGGCGAGAGTGCTACCATTGAGTGCTACCAAATTCCCTTCTCTTTTAAAATAATACCATGGGATCTTTATTGTCTACCTGGATAGGCCCTTAATTTAACACCTCATCTGAAGGATAGCATCTCTGACAATGGAGCAGATGATCAATATGAACCATAAAGTCAAAGTTCTGATTTGTGGGTTAAACCCGCAGCCTTCCAACTCAGAGGTGAGAGTGCTACCAACTGAAGCAGGCAGATGGTTTACAATGATTGGGTTCAGTGCACTTTACAAAATGTAATTGATTAGAAATGAAAGTTAATGTGTACAGGGCCAAACATGGCAGCTGCTCTGAACAAGCACTGTCCCACAAGCAAGAAATAGAATAAATTTGCAGGGTAAATTTGGATTAGGAGGGAAAATAATAATCTTGTGGTTGATATAGCATCTATAACTGCAAAGTGTTTATAAACACTTTGTAGGGAATTGTAAATGCTGTGACTTTTCATGAAGGCAAATAGAACAGCAAATCTGTATAAGTCCCACAAAGTACTGTGAGTTGCATGATCAATTTTTCTGGAAGATTGTTGTCCCGAACACTGGGAGAACCACTTTTTTTTTCCCCAATTCAAATAGTATTTCCGGATCTTTAACAATCACATGAACAGAGTCAGAACATTGGTTTATCACCTCATATAAAGGATGAAATGTCCAACAATGTTATACTCCCTCAATACTGCACTGGAGCATCAGTTACTATGAACTCAAGTCCCAACATGGGGCTTGAGCTCACAATAAACATGGCTCTTAACTTACCACTTGGCCTTCAGGCACATTATCAGACCCAACAACTTCACGTTTGTATCAGCCAGTTCTTTTGGCAACATTATTTTGGAACAAAACATTTATTACACTGGGTACGAATGACAGTCTGTAACAATGCCCAGCCTGTTTCTGGCCACATATTTTTATGTCATTCTGTGTAAAATGCAGGATTAGCAACAGAAAAGGGAGACATGTTTTCCTGTGGGGAGCTGACCAAGTAACTCTTGCAACATATAGTCAAACCGATTATGCAAGGATGTTTCAACACAATGTATATCATTGCATTCTGTATAAGCAAAACAATTTTTTGTTCAATTGATGTGATCTTCACAGATTTATTATACTAAAAATGGTTAACATGTACAGTGTTGGGGGGTAAGGAACAGCAGGAATTTATATCACCAATCCTGTGCCACATTGAAAGTGAGAGGTCCTTTGCTGTAAGCTCTTTGAATCTGATCATAGCACCAGGTAGGAGTGATGTGGAACACAGCTCTGGATCAAGTTCATCACAAAACATGAAAATAAAAAAGCAGGTATTTTGTGTCCATCTCTAATACCAGGCAAACATTGCCTAGATTCTCTGACCTGCCAATGAATTTGAGAAGTTAATTGTTGAAGTAATAGTCCTTACATTTGATATAGCGCCCTTTGTGTCCAAAGAGGGCTCCAAGTGCTTCACGGGATATAATATAAAGTATAGTGACTGTTATATAGGTGAACACGGCACACAGGAATGTCCCACAAATAGTTATGAAGTGAACCACTCATATTATTATCCTATCGTTCTTGCCTACGGTCAGTCAAAACATTACCGTTGGGTGAATTGCACCTATTGCTGCTTAAAAAAGGTACTAAATCCGCTTTTGCTCAACATTGCCTGTCCCAACATGACCTCACCCCCACATAGCCAAATACCTCATTCACACTTACCAATGTGCTACTCACCACCCACTACAGCTTCACACCATACAGAGTTCCGCAGCCTGTATCCAGTTCCACACAATGCAAGCCTATCACCTCCATTCTTGCCCAACTCCAAGGCTCCCTGGCCTTCAGCAGATCAATTTTAAGATCCTTGTCCTCACCTTCAGATAAGGGCACTGACAAATAACTTTGCATCACTTTGGACCACCCAAATTCTGCCATCTCCAGGAAACCTACTCTCCCTAACAATCTCTCCATTCTCATGCCTGCTTCATACAACCACATGCGCTGCTATGCTATGAGCAGCAAGCCTAAAGCGACTTTACCCTTCTATGATCTTCTAACTCACTCTTTTGCTCACCTCCTTGACTCAACAACCTCAAGCTTACTGCTTGTCCCCTGCCCCCTCCACCCTATCATCTGTGGCCAAGCTTTCAGCAGCTATAACCTTGTCCTTTCAAGCTCTATCCATCTATGCCTCAGTCTCTCCCCCTCTCCATCAGTCTTTAAATCCCCCGCAGAAAATCTACCTCTTCAACATATCTGTTGTCACCTCTCCTTCCCCATCTCTATCTTGCTTGGCATCCAACCACTTCACTCTGATGTTATAGTTTGTGAAGGGCGCTATATAACTGCAAGCTATTGTTGTGAACCATTTGAGACCGTCTCCCAATGGAAAAAGAATTAAATACATGTAACTTGTTAACTAAAAAAGGCTTTCAAATTTGTAACTGAAAGAAGCAAGTCTTTTAAATGAAATATGCCTACTGTGGGGCATGGGGTAGGAAAAACCAAGATCCAAATTACTTAATTAAATCTACAGGTTTTAATTATTAAAAGTTGGAATTGCACTTGCAGACAGCGACAGTGTACAATAGACTTTAAAAACCAGAGTAAGAAAGGAGTGGCAGATATGAAACTCTGTGAGCAGCTTCTCGTGCCTTTGGGCTGTGGCAGCACCTTGGCTTGAAGGAAAGACTTTCTGCAACCATTCAAAAGCAGCATTGCAAAAGGAACAGTTGTGGAGTGCTATTCAATGTGGCTCCTTTACAGGAACAACAGCAGAGGGCAGAATCTGACCACAGCCTGGAGGACTGACACCCCCGCCCCCCACCCAGTGCAGCATTCAAAAGATTTAATATTTTTAACAAAATAGCCCCAAAACTTTTTAAAAATACAGAACATTTCAAATTCAAAAAAACATTACAAGGTATTCCAGAAACACAATTCAGAAAGTTTGAAGAAATTGCCCCTACCCATGCCCTCAAACCAAGCTGTTAAGTGACTTTGCAGTAACAAAGAGTTCAAATTGAAACACCAAATCAGTGAGGTAAACAAGTTAAATTATAGTACAGACTTAAAAAAAACTGAAATCCTTATGTTTGCTGAACGAGCACAGGTCAGAAGAACAGTGAACTGTATTGATTCACTAAATGCAGGCTTTAAAGGGGTCACTGTTGAGGGAGAACAGTCACAGCAATGTGAATCCTGTGCCAAATACATCTTCCTGTTGCAACACTAGCAAAACACAAAGAGGGAGGAAGGAGAGAGACCGTCATAGACCTGCCCTGCACAATGTTTGTGCAGCAACAACTTGGACGCAGTGCTTCAGTCCTGTCCCGCTCCATCCCAATTTCTCACCGTTCACAAAAGCATTGGTGGGCCACTTCTATGCAGATAGACTAAAACCATATTAAAATCTTACATTTCTACAAAAATATAATTACAGTGTCTCTCTGGTAGTGGTCAGCAGCATACAACACTAAAGTGAGACGGTGGCTGTGGCCTAGCAATGCTTCTTCCAGCTGGCAATGACAGAGTGTAGTACATCACAGGATGCTCCCAACCAGTTGCGTAGGGTTCTCATGCTCAGGTCATCCGCATTTGATGAATGATTATACTCTCTACAAAACAGAGAAATTGGTTAATAAATCTCGAAGAAAAAGCGGCAATATCTTTCTTTTGTGTTGAAAAGAACTTCCATTTTAAAAGATGCTGTAATCAATGGCACATAGAGGGAGGAAGAAGAGATTCAGTTACCAGTTTGAACCTGGACAATTTTCTGAAAATAAAGTACACAGTTTCCCCCACCCTCCTCCTCACCAATGGTTCAGCTTCTAAAGTCACAGCCCAATATGGAACTCTTAGACTGAAGACCCTTTGCTCAATATGCAGTCTGTGCGAGTGAGTAGAGGTCAGGACAATACAACAGTATGAGAGTGTGTGTGTGGGGGGGGCGGGCGGGGGTGGTGCTGGCGGGGGCAAATAGCAAAATCAGCCAATATTCCCACTCCTGATCACTGCAGTGACCCCTGCTGTAAATTGTGTATTTTCAGTGAGAGAGGATGTGTTGTCTCTCTAGAGTTGCATAGCTGGCAGTACCCAACAACAACCAGCATTTATATAGCGCCCTTCATGCAAGATAGCATCCGGGAGTTCTCGGACACATCCATACAGTCCCCAGTACTGGAAAGGACACTATGAGCCAGCAAAAGTCAGTGTCCTGAGGTCAGGAGAGAAAGGAGAACATTGGCTGGAGACGGAAGCCAGGAGAATTTTATTTTGCTGCACTATTTCCTGTAACAGTCAGTTACAGTATTCTTGTGTAAGTCTTACTGGAGTGCTAGAGAAAATTCTACTTTCAATATTAATCGTTTTGGCAGCACTTACAAAGATAGTTCACTTCCGGAAAGGTTAAGAATCTTACCCAGAAAAGAGTGAAGAAAAATCCAAACAATACTAAAAAATAAACATTGAATAATTCATATAGCCTTGGTTACACTGGCTATTGTCAATGATGTAGCTACACTATACACCAGTAAATTACAAAATAGCCCTCTTTGTATAGTGTAGTCTTCTCATGAACACAATCTGAGGTCAGTTACTACTTGCAGTTCTTCACAAGAATACCAACGATACTGATGCATCATTGAAAAGCCTTCCATTTGGATGACCTGAGTGAACAATTAGCATTTAAAAGGGTGGTGAGGTGGGGGCAAGTGTGGAATCTCACTATTGAGTGAAGTTCTTTGCTGCAGGAATGTTCTAGGCTCATAAATTGTTAGCGATTCCAATTGATGGTCTTTCCGTAGCACTTCCATGACTTAATAGCTCACTGGCAACAATGTTACCAGTTAAATAAAAATATGGATGCTGTGAATCAATACGTGTACATCTATACTCGTACAGAATATCAGAGGAAAGACGATTTTGGTTAATCCATATTATACATCAGGATTTTTTGAGATTATGATGTCCTAAATTTAGGCATCAGCACTCTCACCTCCGAGTCAGGTTGTGGGTTCAAGACCCACATCAGGGGTTGAACGCACCGTCAAGGCTAACACTCCAATACAATATTAGGGGAGCACTGCATTGGCCGAGGTTCTTTCCTTCAAATGAGAAATTAAACTGAGGTTCTGCTTACCCTTTCAGGTGGATGTTTGTCACAATAACTATCCCTCTGATAAAATTAGTCATTATTTCATGGCTGTTTATGGGATGTTGCTGTGTGCAAATTGGCTGCCAAGTTCGCCGACATCTTACAGTAAATTCCTGTGAACTGTTGTGAGACGATTTCCTGACATGAAAGGCGCTACAATAATTCGGTTTATTGAATAGAATTTAGAAATCCCAAACCAAATGCACACCTAATCTAACAATGTAGATCAGTTAATTGAATACCGGATATACAAATAATTTTGTTAATTGAATAAATTCCCCTGTGACACTTCGTACAGAAACCAATTAATCTCGAGTCCAGATAAATGCGTAGTACCAACTCACTACCTTCTACAGTGTAGCGCAAACGTAGTTAGTGTCCTCTCCTCCTTCCCCCTCCCCTCACTCCCTAAAGAGGTTGCTAGCAATTGGTCAAGTGGTTACGTGCGAGTGAGGACGAGTCTATTTGTTGGAGGACAGTGTTTCAGGTTCTGGTGCAGTTGGAGGCCATGTGGCTCGAGCTCTAGGAGGCGAGTCTTTTCTTACGTTTAGTCTGGTTATATGAATAGTTTGGTTTATTGAATATTTTTTGCTGTCCATTTGAGTATTCAATTACCGGGATTTCACTGTATATCAAATGCAAGGATTATTATTTGTACAGCATCCTTCTCAGTTGTATTCCCTTACAGAAAATACATCTATTCCAAGAGTCTAGTCAGAATCCTAGCATGCTCAGTTCAGTTTCCACTTGATAGGATGACTTTTGATAGGCAAGACTCTGAGATTGTTGTTATAATATTCTCTATTGGCTTTTACAGAAATAGACTGTTAACCAGGCCTCAAAATCTTGACTGTTGACACTATCCTTAGCTGCAACACTTAGTTATTTTTATTTTCTCCAAATTCATGATAATGACACTGGGAGAAGCTCCCTTCTCTTTTCAAATAGTGTTGCGATATCTCTAACGTGCACCTGAATAAACAGATGGGCTTTGATTTGTCTCATTTGGAAGACAGCACCTCTGGCATGATAGTGTCAGCTTGTCAGCCTAGAATATCAAACAATAGTCTTATTGTTTGTGGCATCTCTCTAAATGTAAAGGCAATCACATGATGAATACAAGATTGGTATAATGACAACAACATTACAGTTGTATAGCGCCTTTCACATCAGGAGGACGTCCCAACCTTTCAGGAATAAAAGCCTTTCTATCCACTCTACTGCCATTATCTCAGCTTCACAGGGGTAGGCATGAGGAATATACTGTATGCAAACAACAGAATTCTATTATTGTCTGCAACTGACCGGTTGCAACATGTTATTTTCAGTGGAACAATCGTCGAGACTGGTGCCATCAATCACCTTTTCAATCACCCTCTTCCTTTTTGTTCGGGCATTTATCTTTCCACTCCTCTTTTTCCTTTCAACTTGGGTGTGCAACTAGCTGCGTGAAGCTTTGAAACATCCTCCCAAAGTATGAGGCAATATATAAACGCACGACAATTATACGTGTTTAACATAACCAGTCCTGTAGCTCAGTGGTTAGAGCATTGGCTTTGCAAGCGAGAGACCCGAGTTCAATTCCAGGCAGGGCAAAACCTTGGGCAAGTTTCCTTACTCCACACGCCTAATAATAATCCCTCCAAAAAACAATAATAAAATTGGTCATTTTCAATCTACGACTGTTTGTGGGACATTGCTGTGCGCAATTGGCTGTCGCGTTCGCCCACAAATATACAGTCAATTCACTTTACAGTGTGTTCTGTGAAGCGCTTTGGGACGTCCTCCCGTGAAAAGCGCTATATCAAGCAAGGATTATTATTATTATTAACTGTTCTATAACCAGTCCTGTGCAAGTTTTCTACAATCCAGCAGGTGGCATATTGGTTACCTTAATGGCAAAAGCCAACAGTACGTTTAAATTCTGAATCAGAATAGCTAGACCACAAGCCATCAGCTGGCCACAGTTGGATCCAATTGTACTGCAGTATTTTTTCCTCTCCCTGCCTCCTAAAGCAGCGGCTCATGCTGCTATACAGTTGTATTAGATTCCCTCTGGTACGTGTGGCAACTACTAATGGGAGCCTAGACTGTGAGCAGCTTCAGACATTTATTCTGACAAACCGTGGGTTGCTTTATCAGCAAAGATGATTCCCTCCCTCACAGACCGTTCAGTGGGAGTAATTGAATAGAGAACATCTGCAGGAGCCTTGGCAAAATGTTTCTCTCCCTAGGCCAAACCACAAAGGTCTATTTCATAGCCGCACCACCACTGCACAAGCTGACATCAGTTAACTCAACACAGACCAAGAAATGAATTCAAAACCTTCCTGGTGTGTGTGATCCAGGCCCTGACAAGCATTTACCCTGCACCACATGCCTCATGCTTTTAATAATAATCCCTGCATTTGATATAATGCCTCTAATATCATCTCAAAAAGCTTAATAGAATCTTCCTATAAAATGGAGTCAATGTCTACGTCAAACTGCTTAGTGAGCATTCTAAAGATTCCATGAGTGACTGAATCAAGTCATAGGGCACTTTCTTCCTGTACAACCAAGGCAACTATCATTAAAATATTGTACAAGTTCTTCCACCATAATCATTCCCTGCAAAACGAACCTTGGTAGCCTTGGTATACAAATTTGGCCAAAAATGCAAAATTTGAAAATCAGATTTGATTTCCCCATCTGTGAATAGAGGATTTCTGGCTTCAGAGATTCAAATGACCATTGTTTAGGTACAAGATAAACAAGAATTGTTGATGGGCAATTTGATTTCACAGTTGAGAGAAGTCAAAACAAAGCTCAATTTTTTCCTTACCAGACATGTACATGTTCCAGCAGGATCAATGGAGAACAATCAGGAACGTTAACTTTGGCTTCTCACCAGGATAGCGTAGATCAGTAAAGCAAGTTCACTACTACCCCAGCTTCAGCCGCAATTAACAAATGATCAGGCCTAGGACCTACCTAGCCTGCATGGTTCAGTACCACATTTGGTGCTTGGTACTTGGCTATTGATGGAACCCTGAAGAGAGTGACCTTATACAGTATGTGGAGCCAATATGACTAAATTTTGGTTTATTCCTTTCCAGGAATTCTACTGCCTTAAAAACTCTAAAATAACTCTTCCAAACAGTGAAACAACAGCAACTTGTATTTATGTGGAAGCATCTCAGACCGCTTAAAAAACACTACATGTAGAGGAATCTTGAACATGTGAGGACTGCCACTGTTTATATAATAATATACTCTATATTCTGTATAAAGAGTGGGTGGGGAGAAGAGAGGAACTGGAGAAGGTCAAAGATTGTGTAGTGCATAGGCAAAGATTTTGAAGTTGATCCACTAGGAGACTGGGTGGAGGGTGCAGTAGTGATGGGCACACACAAAGTCTTGTGCAAGAAAACAAAACTCAAAATAGTCAGTACCCACCAACAGTCGAAGGCTTCCCTATGGAGAATGATGTCAATAGGTCCCCAACACACGCACACACGTGCGCGTCCAATCAATGAATATATTGAACAGCTCACAAAATGAACAACATTGGTATTCCGAAAGCAATGTGTGAAAACTGAACACTTACAAACTTATTTCCTGTGTTAAAGGCATAGTATGCACATAAACCATACAAACCTGGTACAAAAAAAATTGTGATGGAATGTTACGATGAAGGTAATTTTAACAACCACTGGAGAAACGCAAGGACTGTTAGTTGTGTTATTAAACAGACTGGGAATTGATCCATAGGATTAGTAGGGGGAACGTCTACCAACAGGGGGCGATGTCCATGGTAGCAGTAAGACCTGCACCTACCCCCTAGTCCTCCGGCCTCAGCCCTTCCCCCCAGCCTGAGGGGCAGAACTGCTGACTGGAGACTTCTTCAGTTCAATTTTCATTGACTGGCTTTCGGCACGAGATTCATATTTTGTCACATTTCCTGCTGCCGTGGCTGCTACTATTGGTTTTCCTGCTTTCATACCTTTTGACATGGGGATGCGGGTGGGTGCAGGCCGCTGTGCTGAGCCCTCCTGCCCTGCCTAGAAGATAAGAAAAAAAGCATACAAGGCAATGAATGACAGCCTATCATCAATTTAAACATTTTCTTTTTTTTTTAAAAAAACAAACTTTTTTGGGTGTATATTTGCTGCAAGATTGAGTCGAGCTTCATTCCTCCATGTGATCTCAGTTTCAGGTCTTGTGAGGTTTCCGCTCAATATCTCTACATAGCAGTCTGCGTGAATCAGGTGCCAAGCAGAACAAAGATGTCCCACAGAAATGTGCATTTGTGCTCCAAAAACATTGTATTTTCCTTTTGTAGAGAAATTTGGAATAGGAATTTTATCAAGTAACCAACTAGACCAATGATATTATCAATAAGGGGTGAATGAGCAAAATACAGCACTTTATAGTACTGATTCAATGGCAAAGCACAAACTGGTACAGTGTAAGTAGCATCGGTTATTTATATCTAACATTTCCAGTTGTTTATGGAGTAATACAAATATATTTTAGAACTAAGGACCGAAGCAAGAAGCATTTCCCACGTGAAGCAACAAAGCCAAAAGCGTACACTGGATGAAACATTTAAGGTTTTGTAAAACCTTCCAAGAAGCCAGGTAAATAACATAACATCTCCACAATGGAATTATTAAAAGTGGTGTTGCCTGGGTCTGTAGCTACCTGCAAATCTTTTTTAAAAAAAANTCTACCTCCCCTTTTAATTCTCTTGAAGTGTCTTTCGCATAAAACCCAAGGAGATATTTAACCATCCCCTCCCCAGATTACACATTCTCAAATTAAAACGTCACTCATTTGTTAATAATGTGAAAGTTAAGTCGTCTTCTGTTACTTTTCTTTGCATATCACAAATACACTAGTACGAACAGATTGCTCTATGGTAAGCCATTGAAAATGAAATTAATTGCCCTCATGTGAGGAACCTCTACAACTTACTTCCACCCATGGGACTTGGGGTTACTCCATCTTGCTCACTTGTAGAATAAAACCTGTCTTCAGCAGTTTACCATCAAGCATCATCAGAGCTCTGCTACTGGTAATAGTAATTCCAGGTTACAGCTGCAACTCTCATTAAATCTCCTGCTGTAGGTCCAATGTTGGATGGGAAATTGCCAGATTTGTGTTTATTGGTTAACGTTTGATACTTGCACATTGCAACCAACATTGATTTCATTGATTTGTACATCCATTAAAATTTGACTTTCACCAGCCAAGTGTAGCTTGTACAGCAACATGTTGAGCATCACCCCCTCCCACTAGGGCGGATCCTAGTCCCTTGAAGCATTCCTACAGTTCTCTTGCTGAGAAATTAAAGGGAACAGAAGATGAGAGAGAGTGAGAGAGAGAGAGAGGGAGCATGAGAGAGAGGAAAAAAAAGGAAGCAGAATTTTCTGCTCATGTTTAAAACAGCACCAATTCTCAACATACCCATTTTCAAAGCAATGGTTGCAAATTCGATGTAGAAGGATGTAAACATTTTCCTTAGAAACTGGCGTGAATATCTACTATTGAAAAAAACTTTTGCCTCAACTGTAATGAAATTAATCTGATGCACGCTTTTGTGGCAGTCCAAGTTTCAATTTCAAAATAATTTATAAGGTTGGTATCTATTCACGCATCCTTTTTGCTCTCATTCATTATACTGAAGCTTGTAGAAGTGATAATTTAACAGCTTCATATATCTCATGAGGATGTTCGCCACAAACAATTTTTTACATCATCTTGTACACTTTAAAATTTCAGACTGCTTTGAATCTCTGCTTAAAAACAGCATTCGCACTTAATAAAAGAACTTCCATGAACTATGTTCATCGCTTTTGTCCAATTTGTCATTCATTCCTGGTGAATCAGAACACAAAATTTCTCAAAATATAGAAAGCAGATGTCAGCTATCCTGGGGATGTATCTGTGATAGCCATCACTCCACCATCTACACATTTCAACTGTTTAATCACCCATACTAATAGTTTGTTAAACTAGTTCTCTCATGGAGTTCCTTTAAGCCATTAAATGCAATTGCCAGTGGTTCCTGATGTGAGAAAACAGACTGCTTCATTCAGTCAAAGGGGGGCACTCTAATGTGCCCTCTGTAAACAGTAACTCAGCAGTTCAAAGTAGGGACGATTGAAGAGGGAGGTCTTAAGGCACGATCGGAAGACAGGCAAGGAGGGGGCATGGCAGAGGGGTTGAGGCAGAGAATAATAATAAAAACAATTCTTGCATTTGATATAGCGTTTTTCACGTCTTCTCGACGTCTCAAAGCGCTTCACAGAATAGACTGTAAAGTGAATTGACCATATATTTGTGGGTGAAACACAGCAGCCAATTGCGTACAACAGTGTCCCACAAACAGTCGTGGATTGAAAATGACCAATTTATTATTGATTTGTTTTGGAGGGATTATTATTAGGCGTGTGGAGTAAGGAAACTTGCCCAAGGTTTTGCCCTGCCTGGAATTGAACCCAGGTGTCTCGCTTGCAAAGCGAGTGCTCTAACCACTGAGCTACTGAATGTCATAGACATACAACTGTATTAAACAGGAACATCATATGTTCCAAATGTAAATCGAGTATTTGCTGTATTGTTCACACAATGTATGTAATTTTCCTGTTTAAATTAATTGATTTATATTAGAGGTTTAAGCGTACAGCTATTTCTAATGAGACTCCTTAATAAAGACTCCAAATCACAAATGGTAAGCAGTTCTGGGCTATTGACCAGCAAGAACTCTGGCCTGACACAAATCTACCTAAACGAGCTGCATGAAGTGCTTCATGTTCCCAGAATAAGTGCCCATTTACACCCAGAGTCCTGATCAAGGAATGCCAGAAGAATGCCATGACTCCATTATCCAACGGTAGAAATGTGATGTATCCTTAATATATGACATTGACAAGAATAGGCTTCACAGGATTCCTTCATCCAAGATCGAAGTAATCTGCTTGATATCTGCTGAAGGCAACTCACCTGCTCAATAATTCATATTATCTATTGAATCCAATTAATCTGCTTGAGCATTTATATCTACTGAATCCAACTAATCTGCTGAATGCATTCATATCTACTGGATCCAACTCACCTGCTTGATACATTCACTAGTTCAAAAGATATTGATGGTCCCAGTTTACCATCTGGGAAAATTATGTCCAAAACATGTTTTTGTTTGGGGAGGGGCAAGTGCCATGTTTTTCTCATGTCATCACATGGAAGCAACACAGAACGTATTGAATCTGACTTTGAAATGCTTGCCTGTCAGTAATGGTGCTCTTTGAAAGTTTCAACACTCAGGAATTTATCAAAACTGATCAATGAAATGACAGCAAACAACGTACTACATTGCAATGGAAGTGTCGCAGTACAACATAGTTAAGTGGAAACTTGACTAATACATGAAGAAAAAGGGAATAAATGGGATTATGAAGGGCAGAGGCTCGTGGATACTAAACATCAGCCTAGACTGGTTGAATGGTTAGCGTCAAAGCTGTAATATTCTATGTAAATCGATGCATAAATGTATCCTAATTCCAGACCAAGACTCTCCTCCACAAACTTACCTAGATGGGAGAATGCAAAATAAAAAATTTGGGTTAGAAAAACTCCTGGTATCTGGAATGATATGAACCGTCATTGACTCCAAACCGTGATCCTTCTAACCTGAGTGCCCTTGGTTCCTAATGTGAAGGGGATGACGCTTTCTCTTCCCCATTAAGTCCTACCTTGCCGTACTACCATCACCCCAGCAATAAGTAAACAATCATATTGATGATCATGTCAAGATACCATGCATTTTTGTGGTATTAAATGAGTTCTTGTTATTTATTATCAATTTTGTTCACAGCTTTTCATGTTAATTTCATGGATTTGACTATTGTTTCTTGTTAATATTCTTTGTTTGAGTGAGACACGCGGGAATGAGGTAACTGGCTTACGTATCCGGTTAGGTGACATTTTTGGAACTAAAATTAGCATTATCGAGTGCATCCAACAACATTGTGTATTGCAAGGTTACCCTTACAAAGTGGCCAATCAACAGGTACCAGCATTGTATCGTCACTAAATATTTTTTCAGCCCGTTTAAAAGATAGATTTGAACTGTTGGGTCAGTGATTTTAAGGTGTTCTGGCGAACAATTTTATAATTAACCAGCACATCTACCCTGAACAACAACAACTTGCACTTATATAGCGCCCTCCACGAAGGGTGCGCCTCACCAGTTGATTATAACCTAAGAGCAATTTTTTTGACAAAGGCACTCCCTCTTTAAAGTATATTCTTTGTATTTCTCACAACACACACAGGAATTTGCTCCAGGTTTCCACTATCGTTCTCTGAAAGCAGCCACCAGTGGGCGTGCAATCGAGCCTGGGACTATCTCCTGCTCAGTGCAAGGGAACACCTGTGGGCCAATAACAGCGTGCCCTCTCTCAACAAGATAAACCAAAGTAATGCTCCGCTTCCCAGTATTAAAAATAATGATTTCCCATTTTATGTCTGTTTTCCTGTGAAACACGCGATTTAGAAAAGGTGATCAAATTTACAATTCCAGCACCAAGTTTATAATGTTCTTCAGACAACAATAATACTTAAATTTTGATACAGCGCCTTTCACAATAGGGAGGACATCTTAAATCGCTTCACGGGATTCACTGTAAAGTGTACTGACTGTATTTTTGAAGGTGAACACTCAATGAGTTGGAGGTGAAAGCACAAGGAGGTTTACAATTGCATATCATCAAAATGGAAGTGGTATACTCCCATGAAAAAGTAGATAAAGGGTGCGCTGACTTACCATTGACTGTGTAGTTCTTGTGGATGCAGTACTTGTGGGAGTTATAGTGATGCTGCTGGTCATTTTGTTTGGCGAGGCTTTAGGAGTGCAGTTGCGAGGAGAGCGAAGAACAGTTCCCGTTGTTAATTCCTTGTTTTCGGGTGGAACAGCCAGAGGCCTGACCATTATCATAGGACTACCCTCAGCATAGCCAGTGCCCGGCCTTTTGAATGGACTTCCTAAGTGGATATGAATTTTGTTATCTTCAGTCGTTATTATGTTTGCGTTGGGGCTGTACTTGCGCATCGGCGTTGGCACAGTTTGCTTTTCAGGAGTGACTTTGAAGACCGCCCGCCCCATGCTTAGTTCATGTGGCTCAGGGGACACAGAACCATCAGGAGCTGCTGAGGTTGATACGGTCATGATCTGAATTGGTGAGGTCGACCTGTCCAGAGAAGACCCTTTGCCTCTTTCTCCTTGAGACTTTGCTCTGGAGAATGTAGTGATTGTAACTGGAGACGGCGAACGTTCCGGTGAGAGGGACCTTTCAGATTCTTTCCTCTTGGGTGATGACATGCTGGGCGTGGGAATGATCGTGATGCGTGGTTTCTGATGGCCCAAGGTAGGAATTACTGTGGTAGTGGAAAAGAAATCCTCTGACGGTGGACTGGTGATCTCCAATGTAGCTGTACTGTTCTCATGATCAGGGGTCACCCTGATGTGCAAGGGCTGCCCTTGTTTCTGTGAAAGTACCACCTCCCCATGACGGCCTGGGCTAGTACCATTTGTTTGCATAACTTTCTCGGAACCATTTTGTGATCCGTTTTCCTTTTTTTCATCCACGGGATCCAGGACCTCCTCATACTTAGCTCATTTGCGGCTGGTGGGTATCGCTCAAGAACAGAAGGGCGCTCCATGGGCTTCTTCAGCCCTCCTTGTCTCAGATTGCTCATCAGATGGTTTTCTTCCTGTACAGACTTCCGTATAAACACAGCGGGATTGTCCTCCTCTCCAAGGTCGTTGTTCGTACCATCAGTCTGCACTGCAGTTGAGGTCACTGGGATATCAATAATACGCCTGCCATTCATGCTGGGCCTGAGCGCACGACTATATCGTTTCGAAAGCTCCAGCTCCTTAACCAAAGTCACAACCTCCTGTCCCATCTCACTCGTTTTATTCTCTTCCTGCTTGAACCTTTTTTGCAGAAGTGAATAATCCGCCTGCATTTGGGAAAGCTGGTCTTCTTTGTTCATCAGCTCATGGATTTTCTCTTTGAGCGCTTGAACCTCCGCTTCCAGGTCTCGAGATCTGGCTTCTTCAAAGCGCAATCGATTGCGGAACTCGGCTTCTTGGCTCATGGCTTCTCCTTTTTCAATGGCTTTGTTTTTGGTAATTTGTTTTTTGATCTCCTCCAGTTGTTGCGACAGGAGGTTGGCCTTGTCCTGCTCAGTCTTAAACTTCTGCTCAAGCTGGTCGTACTCATCCTCTGTCTTCATCAGATCACCTTCCACCACTTCCAAATGCTTCAAACGTCCCTTCAACCGCTCGATTTCCAACGTTAACTCTTTCATTTTATTACCCTCTTCCACAAGTTTCTCCACTTCTTTCTTCGCCCTGTTTTGCACAATATTGCTTTCCGTTTCTTCCACACAGTCCAGTTTCCTCTTCAACACTCTAACTCTGGAGTTCAGATCACTTGACTTTTCCTCTTCACTTTGGAGTTTCATCTTCAGCGTATCTCTTTCATTGAGAAGACTGGTTATTTTTTCCTCCATCTCCGATTTCAATTTAAGAAGTTTCTTACTCTCGTCTATCAGTTTCTCGGTTATTTCTGTCGTTTTGCTTTGTTCCAGCTTCAACTTAGCATTAAAATCACTTACTTTCCGCTCTTCTTGGTTTAGTTTGTCTGCCATATTTCTCCGCTCATCTACCAACATAACTGTGAAGGATTTCAGCTTTGTTAAATCATCTTCAAATGCAATTCACCCTTTTCCAATTTACTTTCCGACGACTCCAATTGCCTCACTCGGGCTTTCACCACTTCCAACTCATTGATCAAGTCTTTGGTCAGGTTCTTTTCCTTCTCTAAACTGATGTGAAGTTGCGAACATTCGGATTTGCTCTTGTTAAAAGCACCTTCCAATTTTTCTAGATCTACCATTCTCTTTTGCAGTTTTTCGACTTCCAATTTCAAATCTTTACTGTGGACTTGCTCATGTTGCAATCTCTTCTTCAGTTCTCTGCCCTGATTCTCGGCCTTGGTTATCTCTTCATCTTTCCCCTCCATTTCTAGCACCCGCTTCCGCAAACTTTCCACCTCAGCCATCAGACTAGAGTTACCACATTCTCCACGGCTGATTTTGTCCCTCTGCTCCTGAAGTTCCTGCTCTGCTCTCCGGAGATCTTTGTTGGTTTCCTCCAACTCCTCCACTTGCCGGGTCAGACTAGCCAGCTTTTGCCTCAACTGACGTTTCTGAGACTCCTGTGCGGCCAGTTTAGCTGTCATCTCATCATGCTCCTGGGAGTACTTTGCAGATTTATGTTCAATCTCGGCTTCAAGCTGGGCGACCTTCTGCCCCTCTTCCCTCGCCACAGCGTTGACACCTCGCAGCTTCTCTTCCTCCTCCTGGAGTTTCTGCACGAGCTCCTGCACTCTGTCGGTTTGCTGGCCAAGCTGCTCGATGTGAAGCTGACGTTCATCCACCAGCATCAGTGCGAATGATTTCAACTTGATCAGCTCCTCCCTCACTTTGCCAAGCTGCTTGGTGCTGTCTTTCTCTTTCCGAGCCTGGTAGGACTTCTCCTGTTCAAGCAGCTTCTTTAACCTGTAAACGAGAGAGAGCTTTGATCAAAAACTGAAACACTTTGAGAATTCCAAACCAATACTTTGAAGATGGACTTTAACGTTAAGTTAATAAGGAAAAATATACAACTTTGTTAGAGATGGTGCATTGGAAAATGAGAACAGGAAGAGGCCATTCAGCCCATCGAGTTTACGCTACCAGTTTATTCAAACATTTCATTCTAACATCCTGCTCCTGCCATGTCCTTTAGTATTCCACTACCAAGAGTGCAGCAGATTCTAATCAATGAGCTCAAATGTCTATTTCGCATTACACGAGGATCAACTACACTGATTTCCTGCTGACAAATGAACATTGGCTCAAATACAAGTCGGTAGACAAGAGTACCAACAAGAGGTCACTTGTGTGACGAGCTTTCTTTTCACTACTGATGATAACAGTGAGTAATATATTGGTTCAACATATGGATCTTCATATCTGGGATCCATGTTCAAATCCTGTTCAGATTAATAGGACAAAATTATGCTAAAAGGTCCTCAATCCAACTAGTTTCGAGAGCCTCAATTCAGCTCCAAGTGGGTGTGAAACTGTAGCACACAGCTGTCTTTTGCGAGTTATGCTGAAGTGGGTAAAATGAAGGGTTGTGTTATGTTACATTGTGCTGTAAGATTAACTAAATCCAATGACCATTATTACCAAGAATGGGTTTTGCAAACTCATAGGAATGGTGTAGTCATAGTAACCCTCAGAGAAAATGATCTACAAAACACACTGGAGACGTGCGTCAGAACCTTTAGCATGTCTGGTACATGAAATATTACCCGTATTTTTACACAAGGTGTTTTTCGTCCCTTGTGATGGAGTTTGGCAGTCATTTCAGAAATCTCCATGGCAGGCATTAAAATTAGGGAGAATTACAAACTCAGACTAGCCACAGAGCCAATGCTAAATTCTAGCTGCAATTTGTTCAGGTGGATGTTAAAGATCTCATAACACCATTTGGAAAAAAAGGAGTTTCTCCCAGGATCCTAGTTAGCAATCCTCCAATTAAGTTGACCATTCACTTCGTAGGGACGTCCTCCTGACGTGAAAGGCGCTATACAAATGTAATTTGTTATTGCAACCATTTGTGGATCCTTACTTTGTGGAAAATAGCTTCCACATTTGTCTATAAATATAAAATGACTGTACACTTGGCAGCAATTATTGTGAAGCGCAATGTGACAATCACATTATAGGTCCTATATCAAATGTGAGTAATATTATTTTTATCACAAAGGAGGTTGAATTTTAGGGTTCTCTAAATGTTTCAAAGTGCTAACAAGTAATTAGTCATTAAATTGAATTAAACCATCAAATTGAGTGCAAGTTGGCAGCTGCATTCACCCACAAAATATAGTCACTACACTACAGCAAATCTTGTGAAGTGATCCTGAAGTGCTTTGAGATTTCCTTCCAATGTGAAAGGCGGCGTACCAAGTGCAAGGATTATTACTATTTTTATTATTCTTAATATTTCAGTTAAATGCAGGAATTTTTGGTTTGTTGCAGGCAAGTGCAGCAGCCAACTGAGCCAGCCTGGTGCCAGCCACAGCAGCCATAAAGTGAATGATCAATTTATCTGAAAGGATTGATGGCTAGATCAACTCCTTTCTCTTTTCGTATTGTGTCATAATACAACAGGCAGACCAAACCTAAATTTCTCCATGAAAGATAGCACCTCTGACAATACAGCAGTACACTCAAGTCACTCTTCCCTCCACCAATTTCTCATTGGGTCTCCATTGCTCCTTAAGGTGAGACAATTGACATGAGGAATTGACAACCAACACATGTGGATGGTAGGCTTACTACTTCCACATGGCTACCATTGGTGCATTAATATGCTGAGCTATGATAATCTGCGCATCATTCAAACAGTGGCATCAAATGGTGGTAATTGCTTGAGTACCTACCGAAGTACTTGAACTGCACTCACATCTGCTAGCACACAGTAAACAGAACAGTTACTTTAAGAGTACACCTCATTTTGTATCCATCCACTGCTTTAGTGTTCTGCGAAATGACACTGGCATGAAAGTCTCCAGATCAGTGAGCAGTCAAATAATTGTTAGATAGGTGACAGGGCACCTCCAGTTCTCCTGTGCACATGACTCAAAATTCCTTGCAAAAATAACAGTAATGTGAAGTGTGCAATCATCATGATCTGCAATGTGATCCTAAACTATTGGATTATAACCAGTTAAACTGGGTGAAACTTCCTTACTGGAGGAATCCAAAACTGGTATTCTGATCCACTGTTAGCCTGTCCACACATTGCCCCATCTGTAATTAAAACTAAAGGAATCCACAAGGAATATAGAGTTGAAGGTAGAACAGTATTTTGTTCATCTTTCTAATAATGTATTCTTTCAGCAAACCTGCATTCCTCAATACCTGACAGATGAAAACAGTGCACTTTAAGTATGCATTGTGTCTGTGTGCTTGGGGTAGAGAGAGTTCCTCTTTCAGGTTATTGTTCATCTACCATCAGCGTCTGAGCTTTCAAATTCTATGAACTCTGAAATTCTCTCCCCAAACTCATTTGCTTTGCACCCTCTTCCCATCTTCAAAACCCTCCTAATAAGCTGTGCCATCAACAACCCCTTTTCAGATGTTCATTTTATGTGAAAGATACTATAGAAATCCAATGGTTGGTTATCCGTGAACCTACTCAATTCCATTGCTTATCTTTAATTAGTGCAGAAAACTAGAACAAATTAAAAGTCCTGGCGTCGAATACAGTCCTACATAACAGCAAAATTACATTTGTATATAAATGTAGTTACCACCCTGAGCAAGGCAAAGGTGCACCCAAGCTGTATTTAACATTGTTGGACTTGCCCCAGCAAAGATTATATTGCAGACAGTCTGTAAGGAAATGCTGAAGGTCAGCTACTGAGGTATGGGAAATGGGTAGCTAAATTGGACTGAAAGGATTGCTCGAGGGAGCCTTCTTCTGATCCATAAATTCCTATATTACTGTACGATGCTGCACAAAAAAAAACATACAGAAAGCAGACAGAAATATGAAGGTGGTCAAGCATCTTGGAAATGTAAGCATTCAGAAAGCAAAGGCCAAGTTATACAACAACAACTTACATTTATATTCTGGAGGGATGGGGGTGGGTGATAATCTGGGCAGTGGAGTTATGAATTAATTGAATTTTTTGTTTGGTGGAGCTGGGGAGACCAGCAAGAAGGGAATTGGAATAGTCCAGCTGGGAAACCTTGGGGAAGCTTCCTTACTTCACACGCCTAATAATAATCCCACCAAAACAAAACAATAATAAATTGATCATTTTCAATTCACAACTGTTTGTGGGACACTGCTGTGCGCAATTGGCTGCCGCGTTTCGCCTACAAATATATGGTCTATTCTGTGAAGTGCTTTGAGATGTCGAGAAGACGTGAAAAGCGCTATATCAAATGCAAGGATTATTATTATTACTATTACAAGTGATGAAGGTGTGGACGAGGATTCGGCTGCTTCTGTTGTGAAGTATGGATGGAGGTGGGCAAAGGCCAAGTTATTCATTTTGAGTATGAGAGCATTCATTGTGAGTCTCTCTCGCAACAAAGCTTGCATCGAGGTGTAAAAGCAATCACTAAAGCTAAACTGCTTTATCACAAGAGCTGTGGAATACAACAATTAATAAGTACTGTAGCAGTTATACAGAGTTTAAGTCAGACCTCAGTTGGAGCATAGTATTTATTATTGGATGCTCAATTTAATAGTGGGAAAGTGAGGCTTGGAGGAAGCCCAGTTACTATTTACCAGTAAGGTACCTGAGACAAACGGATTCAGTAATAGACTGGCCAAACTCGCGTTATGCTTCCTAGACAGATGGAGGTGAAGAAGGTGAGGCCTAATGTGTTTCAACATTTTTTTTAAAAAAGGAAGTTTTTAACATAGATGGGGAACGACCCTTCCCTCTCAGAGGAATGAAGAACAACGATGAACAAATCTTACCTTAAAACTAAACTGGTTAAAAGTGAAACCATAAAATATTTCTTGCCACAAAACATTGGCAGAATGTGGAATGCATTCCCTAGAATACCAGAGTTACAAAATCAACTGAAGGATTGAAGAGGGAGATAGATAATATAATAATAATACTTTCATTTGATATAGCGCCTTATCACATCTTTGAGATAATAATAATACTTGCATTTGATATAGCACCTTTCACGTCGGGAGGACGTCCCAAAGCGCTTCACAGAACACACTGTAAAGTGAATTGACTGTATATTTATGGGCGAACGCGGCAGCCAATTGCGCACAGCAATGTCCCACAAACAGTCATAGATTGAAAATGACCAATTTATTATTGTTTTTGGTTTTGGAGGGATTATTATTAGGCTCTGTGTGGAGTAAGGAAACTTGCCCAAGGTTTTGCCCTGCCTGGAATTGAACTCAGGTCTCTCGTTTGCAAAGCGAGTGCTCTAACCACTGTCTCAAAGCGCTTCACAGAATATAATGTAAAGCGAATTGACTGTACATTTTGTGGGCAAAACGCAGCAACCAATTGTGCACAGCTGTTTCCCACAAACAGTCGTGGATTGAGTGACCAATTTATTATTATAATTTTTTGAACAAATTATTACCCCCGCAAAAGAGAACCACCAATCGACTCACAACTGGGTTCCTACTTACTGCTAGGTAAACAGAGGCGTGTGAAATAACGAAACTTGTCCAACGTTTAGCCCTGCTTGGAATCAAACCCAGGACTCTCACTTGCAAGTTGAGTGCTCTAACCACTGAGCTACAGGATACTTGGGAGATAGATACTTGGGAATCAAGGTATTAAGGGATATGGAGGGATATTATATTAAGGGATATGGAGAAAACAGAAAGAAAATGCATCTTTAAAGTACCTTTATTATCAAAGCATTTCAAAGGGCTTTACAGTGATTAGTATGTGGTAAGTGTTTTTCATTTGGAAAATAAAGAGTGATCAGGAAGATAAAGAACTGGCATC